ATCATCCCTTATTTTAATTTCCTTACTATCCTTTATTTGCGTATTTTCTCACAACTTTGAGAAAAGCTAGCATAGTGAGTACTGTTTCTGAGAAGAGAGAGGCATACTAAGTTTTCTTTTTTTCATAAGCTTTCACTCATGTTAGAGTTCTCCTGATTGGTAGCAGTAACCTCCTCTGGCTGGGTGGGGAAGTCTATGCCTGTGACCCCAGCACTCAGAGGGCAGAGACAGAGGACCACGAATTCCAGGCCTACTTGGGTTAATTATTGAAAGCCTATCTTAAAATGGAGACAAATCTGGGGGCTGGAGAGATGGCTCATTGGTTGAAGAGGGCTTATTGCTTTCCAAAGGACTCAAATTTGGTCCCCAGGATCATGCTGGATGACTCACAACCCTGTAACTCCTCTTCCTGGGAATCTAACGCCAGCTTCTGGCCTCTGAGAATACTTGCATGCACCTGACATCACACACACACACACACACACACACACACACACACACACACACACACCACACACACAAATATACATCTTAAGAAAAGATAAGAAAATAAACAAGAAAACAAAAATCTCTTCCGGTAGATGCCCGTGGTGCTCAGTCCTTCACGTGGGACATTTTTTCTTTTCTTGCATTGTATGAGGGAGTGTGTGTGGTGGGCACGTGTATACACAGGACCAAAACTGACCTTGATCCCTCTCACTCTATTTAACAAGGCTCTTGAACCCAGAACTCAGTTGGGCTAGTCTGGCCTGCTGAGTACTGGGATCACAGAGGGATGCCACATCTACCCAGTTTTTATGTAGGTTTTGGGAACCTGAACTCTGTTCTTCTTTTTTTTTTTTTTTTTTGGTTTTTTTCGAGACAGGGTTTCTCTGTGTAGCTTTGCGCCTGTCCTGGAACTCGCTTTGGAGACCAGGCTGGCCTCGAACTCACAGAGATCCGCCTGGCTCTGCCTCCCGAGTGCTGGGATTAAAGGCGTGCGCCACCACCGCCCGGCTAAACTCTGTTCTTTATGCTGGCAGAGCAAGCACTTTATCCACTCAGCCATCTTTAGCCCGTTTACTGACTTTCCAAAGTTAATTTTGTAGGTGAGGATATAAAGTAATGGGATTCATCATGCTCTTTTCTGATTTGCATGTGGCCTCGTGTGCATGTTCACAGTTGTGTGGGTGCATGCGTGTTTGCAGCTAGACGCCGACAGGAGGCATCTTCATTCCTCTGCACTGCATGTATTCCAGGATCTCTCACTTGAACCTAAAGCTCGCTGATGTGGCTATTTACAGAAGGGAACATAGCTCCACCTTCCAAATGATCTGATTATAAGGAGGCTGCCACACCCACCATTTATCTACGTCCCGGGGATCTGAACTCTGGCCCTGACACTTTCATGGCAAACACTTTACCCACTGAGCCATATGTGTCCCCAACCTCTGACAGCTTTACGTGATTCTACCTGCCTTTTTTTTGGAAACAGCTTTCTCTATGTAACAGCTCTGGCTGTCCTAGAATTCGCTCTGTAAACTAGGCTGGCCCCAAACTCACAGAGATCCGCCTGTCTCTGCCTCCCGAGGGCTGGGATTAAAGGCGTGTGCCACCACTGCCTGACGAACTCTACCTGCCTTTTATAGATTAAATAATTGTAGAAAATTATACCTTCTTCATGACTGAGCCCACTCATAACTTCTAACGTGTTCATTATTTAATCAATCAAAGAGTAGATACTATGAGTGTCATCTGAAAGATGAGGAAACTGAGTTTGGAGAACTGAAGCAATTCTCCAAGGTCCCAGAACTACCATCGTCCGAGTGTGGTGCGGAAGTCTGACACAAATCCACTAAAACTCATTTACTTTAGATAACAGCAGTAGCATCTTCTATCCTGTTTCCACAGGACTTGTTTAATTTCTGTAGTGCCGAGGCTTCACACACTAAGCAAGAGCAGGGTGTTTGTCACTGAACTACAACCCCAGCCCTTCTGAGACCTGAAATAAGACACAGGCTTTCTGTGTATGCTCTACTTTCTCTTAATAACATCCTAGCAACAATTCCAAGTGTAATTGGGAATGAAAACAATTGATCAGCTATCATGTAAGAAAAAACCCCAGACATATTTTCCTTTGGTTTACCATCTGCTGTCATAGGGCACGCTTACTCCAGCTTTCACTCGGCACACTGCTTATTTTGTACAAGTATCTGGGTTTGGCAGTGAGGAATATAAGGCCGGGCGGGGAACAACCTATCTTCCAGGAATTGATAATCAGGGAAATCACATATATATAAATAGCTAGAATTAGCCAGAATGCTGTAGATCAGAACCAAAGGCAGAGGAATATTAAGGTGCCACAGATTACTTTTGTTGGAATGAAATCATACTTAGATTCTAAATGCAAATATAAACAAGCAGGTTTAGAATTTATCCGTTACATATGTTCAAAATAGCTCTAGATAAGTAACAGATTTGTGATGCCTTGGCAATTTTATTCACAAAAACCGATGTCATTTTGGCAAAACATTTACAAATTTTCACTATTTCCTTAAAGGTTAGTTTCTTATCTAAAATTTGAGGACTTACCTCATTAATAAAAAGATAGTAGGCATTTTGCCAATCTTCACATTCACCCGGTATTTTAAAGAAATATTACTTTCACATAATTGATTATAACCAATTATACTATAGTCAACTGGAAGACTTTAGAAGGTGTGTATGTCATGAGGAGTAGCATCCATCAATAATTCTTACATTTCTTCTTTGAAATGACAGGACACACGAGCTTGGAAGAGAACGTGATAAACAATCCATTTATTCCAATGCTGTCTCCCCCTTTGAAAGATGTGTTGTACTTTTCCTATTGGCTTAGAATGTGAACCAATAAGGAACCAGGAGCCTTGTAACTGTTCATCAAGCCAGCCTGGCATTGTGAACGCTGGTAGAGATTGCTTTGTTCTTTGCCTCTGACTTTCAGCATTTTATGGGGTTGACATTTTTTCTTTTGAAATAGTAAGCAAAAATAATTCAGCTTGGGTGGTGTTTGCCTTGAAATATATTCTCTAATGTTAATTCCTTTTTTATTGTTCAGACTTAAGATGTGATAAATCCTTAACAGATGTTCAAAAGAAAATCAAGAACTTAAATACAAGTTTTTATTATCGTGTTGAACATACTTCAGGTGAACAAAATTAATATAGGTTTGCTAGATTTGTTTGAAGTTTATAATTACTAAGGTTCTTTCATTTCAAAAGTGGCATATATTAGTTAGTTATTAGCCTCCTAATAGCTGCCTAGAAGCAGAGTTAATGTTAGGTTCTCAGCAATAGCTATTTATGCTTGGGATTCTGGATTATTACATTTTTTGTTTATGATATTTAGAAAAAGCCTTAATAAAGGCGTTTGCGTAGTAATTTTTTTAAACACTGAAACTCAACATCTCTAAAAAGACAAAAAATTTCCTTTTATATTCTTTTCTGTGTGGGAGATTTTTCAGAAAATTTACCACCCTACGGTCTCTGCTTAAATGTACTAGTTTCTAAAACAAAAACAAAAACAAAAAACAAAAAAACCACTAGACCATTTTCTCAGAGTGTGAGAGTGTTTCAAACCAGACCCGAAGGAAGGGAAACATTTTTTCACTTGTATTCTCTCCAAATCTACATTCAGTTTAAGTAATTGCCGTAACAGCACTGACAGTTAATCTGTCTCTTTGATGTAGGCGAATACTTTATCACGAGGTTATTTTACTGCGGCGGGGGGTTGGGGGGGTGGGGCAGTGAAAGAATACAAAGTAATTACAAAGAGAGAGCAAACTCCCGAAGAAGACAGAAAAGAAAAAAAGAAAAGGCGCACCGTCCAGTATCATCATTCATCAGAAGGCTAGCGTGAGACACTTTTGTACTCTGAAAAGCACCGATCATTAAACAGGGAAGTCAGAGTCCAGCACGAAAAACATGGAGCGGGCTTAGGGGACGGGCTAATACTCCGGGATCCTCAGAGGGAAGGGAACACTGTTGCTTTTTCTTGGCACCTGGAAACTCCCGCTCCGCGGGGGCAAAGGCCGCAGCTGCCCTGGGCTCGGGCCAGCGTGTTCCGACCGCACGTTGGCGGCGCGGGCCGGGTAGCGGCCGGCAGCCTCCGCCCGGGTCGCTGCGGCCGCGGGCCCTTTGTTTCCCCGCGGGGGCGCCTCCGCCTGCCTGCCCCGAGCGAGCGGGGGGCCCCCGTGGGGCCCCCGCGGGCCCCATCGCCTCGCCCCGCCGACCTCGCAGCTGCAGCCCGGCCCGCCCCAGCTCCCAGTTCCTCCCTCGCCGCCCGGGCCAAAAAAAACGACCTTGTTTGTGCTTTTGCGGGTTCGGGGAGAGAGGTGAGGGCTTTGACCCGGTCGCGGCGCCCCGGGACCAGCACTAAGCGGGCCCCGCGGTCCCGCCAAAGGGACCCGCGCCCGCCTTTTTTTTTTTGCCCAGAGCCCGAGGGGACGAGGGAAGCGCGCCGCAAGCTTCCGGGAGAGCCCCGGGGCGCGGGGACCCTCCGCGGGTCCCAGGCTGCTCCGCCCGCCCCTCCGCCCGCCGGGCCCGGGACTCGCTTCCCTTAAGGGAGCCCGCGAGTGGCCAGCACCGGTGGGCTCGGGTCGCCGGGCCGGTCCTTGGGGCGTGCGTGGGCCGACGCACCCTGGAGGGAGCCCGGGGGTAGGGTGGGGTGGGGTGGGGGACGGAGTGACCGAGGTCACGGCCCCGAGCCGGGGCGGGGGCGGAGGGCGGCGATCCACCTGGCTACGTGGCAGCCATTGCGGCGGCCGCGAGACCCCTCCCCACGCGGCCGCCCACCCGCCCTCTCGCGGCGGCGGCGGCGGCGGCGGGCTCCGGAGAGGCTGCTGCTCTTCCCGGGTCGGACGGAGAGCGGCAGTGTGTCCCCGCTCCGCACGCTCGTTCCCTCGCTCGCTGCGTCTCTTCTCCCCCCCCCCCGCCACACCGCCCTCCCTCCCCGCGGCCACAGCTGCTCGCCAGCCCCGCGCCGCGCCGCGCCGGAGAGCGCAGCAGCAGCAGCAGCAGCGGCGGGAAAGGGTTGCGGACCCGCGGCGCTCCCTCGACGACGCGGCCCCCCCCCCGGGGCCCTCGACGGCCCGCTCCCCGGAGCAGGTAAAGACGGAGAGTTGTTGCGGCGGCGGCGGGGGGCCGGGGGGGGGGCAGGAGAAGCAGGCGACGGGACCCGGGGAGAAGGGGGAGCCAAGCGAGGAAGAAGAGGATGGAGAGGTTGCGCGCGCGGGGTTGGAGTGTGTGTGTGTGTGTGGGGGGGGGAGATCCCGGGAACGCGGAGCCCCGGAGGAGAGGGCCGGAGGCGGGCGGGCGGGCGGGCGGGCGGCGAGCGACGCGGAGACCCGGGCAAGCGCGGGCCGGGCGCCGGGCGGAAGGGGAGTGAGGCGTCGCGGGAGGCGGGCCCTGGCGCGCGGCCCGGGGGAGCCGGGGGAAGGCGGGCGGGCGGGCGGGCGCCGCGGCCGCGGCTTCCCGGGCCTCCAGCGCCTGGCGGGCCTCCAGGCCGCGACACACCCCTCCCGCCCCCGGGGCTCTCCCGGTGCCTCCTCGCCCCGACTTGACCTCGCGCCCCCGCGAGCCTTCCGCCGTTTTCCCAGGCCGAGCCTTCTGGGAACTTGGGCCGCCTGCCCGGGCACGTAGTGCTAGTAGAGGTGTTTATTTACTACCCTTCCAAACCACACACACACACACACACACACACACACACACACGCACACGCACGCACGCTCGCTCGCTCGCTCGCTCTACCCCCGGCACGCTTGCCTCCCTCCGGGCGTGTGCGCCTGCCACCCTGGCCCCTTTCCCACCCCTAACTTTCCTTCCCGCTCTCCCGGACCCAGTGCGAGCTCTCTGGATACCGGGCTGCGAGAGAATGAGTCATACCGAGGGCAGAGTTTATCCCGTATGCGCTTTTGGTTACGACACTTCGATTCCCCCAGAAAAGAGAGCCCGAGGGGTTTTTTTTTTTTAAGTCGAAGCCACCTCTGAGCTAGGGGGCCCCGCTGGCTTTAGAGATTCCTTCCGCAACTATCTTTAGGGGTAGCAGCCGAGATTCGCGGCACCGACAGGTTTGTACACATTCTTGCCATGCAGTGGTTGTAATGTCTCCATAGCACAGTTCTGACTTGGGGAAGGATTGGCTGCTTTTTCTACTCGATCCCTCCGAGCCAATCAGGAAGCGCGGCTTGCCTGGAGACTGGTTAACTCAGAAAAGGTGGGGATTGGTTGAGCTCCGAGGAGAAAATCCCGCAGATAACCTGGCCTTTTAGAAAACAATGACTGATTTGCCGCCGCCTCTCCGTTCCCACTTATTTATTTATTTCAATACGTTGTCCTTTGATAACAATGACCGCCTTTTCAGCCCTTTAAAAAAGATCACTTCCACTGTTGTCTTTCACATTAGCTCTCGAACTGCAACTCCTTTGAACTCCTGTGGTTCAGTTTCCGCAGAGATAATTCTTACGTATTTTAAGAAATACGAACATGCGTTTTGTGCCTTGACAGGTGTGGTTCAGTTTTCTTTCAGCCGATCTTTGTTGTTGTTGTTCTTAAGGGTCAGAAATGAAGTCTATTTTCCGTTACTATGCCAACGCATTATTTAAATGTTCTCTGAGGATGGGGGGCTACAGTGGTGGCGATGGGGGCAAGAATGAGAAAGAAATGGCTGCTGCTTCTCTGCAGAGAGATCGCGATTTAGTTAACGAGGAAAACAACAACAACAAACAACAAACAGCAACAACAAAGCAACCCATCCTGAAAAGGCTTAGTAGACCTGCCTTTCCTGCAAATCAGCACACAGTACTGTACTCAGCGGGTCTGTGCACCTGTTGGCTTTAGTCGCCGTGAAGGGGAAACAGTGGCAGTACTGAACTTCATAGAAAAACAGCATGTTGTGGTAAAGGCGTGTATCTTGTACACAATTAGAGGCTAACTACTATCATTGTAGATGTATTTTTTTAAATGTCTCTTTTTAAACCTTCATTATTAATCCTGATTATCCTTGCCTTTTGATATACAAAGGAAGCTTCATTTTATTTTTTGAGATAGGGTCTCCATCTATAACCTTGGCTGGCCTGGAACTTCCTACAGGTTGGCCTCCTACATGTCATTGATTGTAGGGTCAAATGCCAACATGTGCAAATATGTCTTATGTGGATGAAATAAGATGTACTGGAGCCTCACCTGGACATTTTTCCCTCTGACATTTTCGTTTCCCATGTATAAGGATACATATTTTTAAATGGTTAAGGATTTTGGTTATTGGATTTAGTTGTATCCTCCTGCCTGTCCTCACAGAGGTCTTCAGCCTAGGGTAGGTTTTGCGGTGGTTAGAAGGAAGGCCTTATGAAAGCTGGGAGTACTTTCCTCCTTGTCCCAGAGCTCAGAGCTCATTGCCTTCTAGTGATGATTAGTACACCTAGACTACAGTTAATCGATTCTATCTGAACACATAGAACTTAACAGATTAAAAGAGTACTTCATTGATTTCTTTGAGACATTAAATTGATGAGTCAGCTGGATTTTCATGACTACTAATCAATGAATAACTAGTCAGAAATTCCACATTGTTGCTCCTACTGAAGCTGGTTAGTGTGGGCCAGGTTCACTAAAACTTCCTAGGCTGGGGGTCGACAGGTCATTGTTTTAAGTATGGCTTGTTGGTTTCTACCCTTTTATTTTTTTGACACAGTGTTGTGTAGCCTTGACTGACCTTGAATTTAGTATGTGGCTGAGGATGGTCTTGGGTCTTATTCTTGTTAAAGCTGCTTTGTATTAAATGTGGACCTGCCAAAGCCCCAATAGATGATAAAAAGAACCACAGTGAGAAGTCTAAAGTCTAGAAAGAATTCTTTCAGAACTTAAATGTAATTAAAATAGGACTTCTAAACCAGAAATAAGCCAAGAGTGGTGGTTCTCACCTGTCATCTCAGGACTTGGGAAGCTGAGGCAGGAAGACTGCCACAAATAAGTTCAGGGTTAGCCTGGGCTACATAATGAGTTCCAGGCCAGTCTGAGCTAGAAATCCTACCTCAAAAAGCCAGAAAAGGACGTTGGAGAGATAGCTCAGCAGTTAAGAGCACTGGCTCCTCTTCCAGAGGACCTGGGTTTGATTCCCAGCACCCACATGGCTGCTCAGCAGTCTGTAACTCTAGTCCCAGGAGACCTGACATCTTCCTTTCGCCTCCATAGGTACCAAGTATACATGTGGTGTGCAGACATACACACAGGCGAGACATCCACATACATTTAAAAAAAGAGAACAATGAGGAGAGGGCTTGAGGAAGAAAGGCAGTAAGCTGGTTATTAAATTTTATCTTATTATTTTTTGAGACTGTCTCTCTCTACATAGCCCCCGGCTGTCCTGGAACTCAGCTGTCCAGGTGGCCTCAAGTTCACAAAGATTCCCCTGCCTCTGCCTCCCATGTGCTAGGATTAAAGACATGCACCACCATGCCTGATCCCCAATCCATATCTTTTAAATAAGATATTTAATAAGTGCTTTCTGTTAATTAAATTGAGGAATGAGTTTGGGAGATTGATATGAATAGTACTTGGTTTTTTGCTGTTATTTCAAAGTGGGCACTAAAAATTCCTCTTCTAGATGGGCAAGGTCTCTAGTCTGTTATCCTAGAACTGGGGAGACAGAGGCAGGGGGTCACTGCAAGTTCAAGGCCAGCCTGGTTTGCACAGTGATTTTGAGGTTAGCTAGGGCTGTATAGTGAGATCCTATCTCAAAAACAAAACAAAACAAAAACCCCAAACAGCAACAATAACCCTTCGTTTCCACCCCCCTCCCCCATTCTGCTGACACAGCTTTGGGATGTAGATGGTATTTACGGTAAAGTTATCTTCATTTCCGCCCCACACTACTGTACTGAGTAACAGTCCTCCGTAGACTAGAGAGTGCTGGAAGGCTGGCATTGAATCTTAGTATTTTGGGCTTAATACCATTCCCAACACCCTAGATCAGTGGTTCTCAACCTTCCTAATGCTGTGACCCTTTAATGCAGTATTTATGTTATGGTGACCTGCCCCCCTCCAAGCATAAATTTTTTTTTTTTTAGACCAGGTTTCTCTGTAACTTTGGAGCCTATCCTGGACTAGCTCTGTAGACCAGGCTGGCCTCGAACTCACAGAGATCCACCTGCCTCTGCCTCCCGAGTGCTGGGATTACAGGCGTGCGCCGCCGCCGCCGCCGCCGCCGCCGCCGCCGCCGCCGCCGCCGCCACCACCACCCAGCGCATAAAATTATTTTGTTGCTACTTCATAACTGTAATTTTGCTACTGTTATGAATTTTAATGTAAATATCTAATATGTAGGGTATTTTATATGCGACCTACAGGTTGAGAACCACTGCCCTAAAAAGAATGTGGGTATTACAGCACTCGGGAGGCAGAGCCAGGCGGATCTCTGTGAGTTCGAGGCCAGCCTGGGCTACCAGGTGAGTTCCAGGAAAGACGCAAAGCTACACAGAGAAACCCTGTCTCGAAAAACCAAAAAAAAAAAAAAAGAGAAAAAAAAAAAGAATGTGGGTATTAAATAACTTTTAGTATGAATGACAGATACTTTTTTTTTTTGTTTGTTTAATTCCCCAGACAGAGTTTCTCTGTGTAGCAGCCCTGGCTGTCCTGGAACTCACTTTGTAGACCAGACTGACTTCAAACTCACAGAGATATGCCTGCCTCTGCCTCCCAAGTGCTGGGATTAAAGACGTGCTCCATCACCATCTGGCCAGGATTTTCTGCTTTTACCTTGTATGTACTGATAATTGTGTAACTCTTTACCCAGAGCTCTTTTCCGGTAACTGGACATCTGTCTTAGTGACATGCCCATTGGCTATTCTTTCAGGTGATTCATACTCTGCATATTCCAAAGCTGTAGTCATCAGCAGCTGTCCCATCTTCAGACCAAACTGTCCCTTTTCCATCTCATCTCTCTGGGAAGATTAAACTAGGTAGTGCATAGGTGTGTACACTCCTTGGCAGAAAGAGAAGCTCTTCCTTGCATTCCTTTTCATTTTACTTGTGATCCATTGCCGAGCCTCATTAGATTACTTCTCCGATAATCTCTTGGATATATTATCCTTAATGTTACAGTTGTGTTCTCCGGTTAGCATCATCTCAGCCTGAGTGCTTTAATGGCTTCTTCACTGGCCTTCCGTTGGTTTTTGTGTGTTTACACTGTAGCCAGAGTTGTCGTTCTGACACATTTGAGCTGAGCAGGTAACTTGGTTGTGGGATTTTTTTGTTTTGTTTTTAGTTTTTGTTTTTTTGGAGATGGGTTTCTCTGTGTAGCATTGGCTGTCCTGGAACTCACTCTGTAGACCAGGCTGGCCTCGAACTCAGAGATCTGCCTGCCTCTGCCTCCTGAGGGCTGAGAATAGAGGTGTGCGCCACCACTGCCTTGCTGGTTGTGGGGTTTATTTTATTTTATTTTATTTTTTCTTCAAGACAGGGTTTCTCTGTGTAGCTTTGCGCCTTTTCTGGAACTCGCTTTGGAGATCAGGCTGGCCTTGAACTCACAGAGATCCGCCTGCCTCTGCCTCCCGAGTGCTGGGATTAAAGGCGTGTGACACCACCGCCCGGCTGGTTGTGGGATTTTTTACTTTTTCCTCTTCAATGCTCGTGAGCTAGATTTGACTTTCAGGATCCTTAGGATTTGACTTCAGAATCACTTCCTCCTCCTGTGCCTTCCCTTCCCCTCAGTGAGCGAGGCAGACTCTCACTTTTCCTTCACCACGCTGAGTTCTTTAAATCTAGGCATTGTTCCAGAAGCCTGTGTCTGTCTTGAATGTCTCCTTACTTCCCTGGTTACCTCCACTTTGGTTTGCTAAGTCAGACTTGTCTGCCCTGTCTCAGTGTGGGCGATAGTCTACTGAGGATCTCTTTGACACAGACTGGGTAACACAAGCCCGTGTTTCCTCGGTACTCCGTGTTCTCTCAGTCACACTGTAATTGCTTGTTTACTTGTCATCTCACCATGCACTGGTTTAAGGTATAACAAAATGTCTAAAAAAATAGGATCTGAGTTGCATTGAAATATAATAAAAAAGCAATTAAATAGTAATTTGGGAGCTCACTTAGTAGAGAAAGAACAGAGACATTGGTTCTGATAGATGAACATTTTCTAAGCCTGAATGTAAAATATTCTTTGACATCTAATTTCCATCTATTCGGTTTTTTGTTATTCGTTAGGCATTTTGGAGTTCAAATTCTGGAAGTGGCCTGTGGGGGTGGGTGTTATTGGCTTATATGACAATATAATAGAAATTGTCTGATGAAGGTGGCCATAAGGGTGGGGACTTGACCGTAGCTGGGCCTTTCCTGTACTTAAAATGCCTGTGGGCTTCATTTCGCCTTGTGCTAAGGATGGACCTGGTTCCTATCTGCACAGGCTTGTTTACTTAGAGTCTCATGTTAGTGGCGCTCTGTGTGATTTGATGACACTTACATAGCCTGTGTTCTCTGACAGGAAGCTGACCCCCGATAGAGTAGGGGATGAGGAAGGAGTTCTGGGCAGATGTAAAGAATGTCCGTTGCCATTCTTAGTTCCTTGTCTCATTATGAATTGTGAATTTGTTTTTGTAGGTGCTTTATTTGTCGGAAAGAGATGCTCTGTATTATGGACCTGAGTATTCCAGGTGCTGAAATGGTAAGTCTACTGTTTTAAAGGAACTAGCAGTGTTTTTGGCTTATACTAGCATATAGGATATTTATGGAGTTTTTGTTTGCTAAATAATACACATATCTGCTTTCATAATAATAGTCTAAAGTAAATACAAAGGTGTCAAGGTAAAGGTGTGCCTAGGATGCAGTGGGAGTTGAGTTGAACTCAGAGTGGATGACTTTTCTGAAAGAAAGTTAATTGAGGAGCTGGAGAGATGGCTCAGAGGTTAAGAGCACTGGCTGTTCTTGCAGAGGTCCTGAGTTCAATTCCCAGCAACCACATGGTGGCTCACAACCATCTGTAGTGAGATCTGACACCCTCTTCTGGCATACAGGCAGAACACTGTATACATAATAAATAAATCTTAAAAAAAAAAAAGAAAGTTAATTGAGCTAGGAAGTATTGCTTTGGTGGGGTGATGTAGAGGGACCTCTGGGTTGAGCATGTCTGAGGCAGAGGTACGTGGTACTGGCTCACCTCCTGATAGAAGCAAGTGTGCAGATACAGATGGAATAGAGAATACGTGAACTGGGGGAAGAGATGCCTTGTTAAGGTGAGGGGCCGGGTCATAAAAGTCCTTGAATGCATTACCAAGGAAGTGGAACTTGATGTTGAAAGCCATAGAATCGTGAAAAATCTTTTACGTTGAAGTACCCATAGAATATTCATGTGGTAATTAACTATAGCATTTGAGAGAGAATTCCTTAATAGAGTCAGTTATAGCTGTTGAAGCTGTGAGCTTGGATGAACCTAGACAGAGTGAGTGGTAGAACAGAAGGCTGGTGATGTGACACAACCCAGGAGGAACAGTGGCAGGAGACCTGTGAGCAGGAGAGAAGTCTGTGAATGAGACTGAGTGCTAGCTAAAGAAACAAGTGGAGCAATCCCATCATGCACTGGGGAAACCTCAGATCATACCAACCTGTGGATGTGTTATGTTTATTAAAAGGTCCCATGCACAAAGCACTCTTCTGATGTTTTGTTGTATATAAAATATCATCTCAAAGTCTAATTGGGGAATAAATAATGGATGAATAAGAAGAAAGGGACCAGCAAGATGGTTTAGGGGGTGAAGGCGCTTCTGTCGAGGCTGATGACTTGAGTTTAGTACCCAGATCTTATATGATGGGAAAAGAGAATAGATTGCTGTAAGATTGTACAGCATGGAATGCATACACCCACATCCATGCATCATATGTGCACATGAAATAAACAAAAATAGGAAAAAACCTTAAAAGAAGGACAGGAGAAAGCAAGAAGTTGGAGATGTGGTTTGAGGCGGAAGAAATCAGAGTACGTCTGTACGAGAGAGGGTAACGTTAGATGACGGCTTCAAAGAGGGTCACAGTCCTGAAAGTGAGGAACCGCAGGGTGGCAGGTACCGCTTAGGCCTTTAATCCCAGCACTCTGGAGGTGGAGGCCAGCCTGGTCTGCAGGGCTAGTCCCGGGACAGCCATGGCTACACAAAGAAAAAAAAAAAGAAATCAAGGGTTATTTTTGCTAACTAGAAGGCTTGAGCAATTGGGGAGTGGAAGTACTTTATGAGATTGAGAATATTCCTGAAGGCAGAGGTGTAAACAATGCATTGTGAAACATAAACTCTGAGATGTAGTACATTAGGAATCTGACCAGAGGCAGGGCCTTATGACATGCGTGTGGAATCCCTTCTAGCACTTGCGAGGTGGAGGCAGGAAGAGCCTGTCTGCTACTTAGCAAGTTTTAGGCCAGCCTGAACTACATAAAACTTTGTCAGAGAGGGAGACGGAGAGGGAACAAGAGTACATATCTAAGTTCCAGGTTCAGTCCTCAGTACCACTACAAATAAAAATACATAAACAAAAGCCTGAGTGGAAGTATAACTACAGATACCCATGTAGAAATAATACATATTGTTCAAGAAAAAAAGCCTTGGACTGGAGGTCTGGCCCTGGTAGAATACTTCCTAGCATGTCTTCTTATGTATAGACATACCTACAATAAAGTGTAATTTATGAATTAGGCACAGCAAGAGATGAACAACAACAGTGAATAATAAAATAGACAATGGTAGAACTATTCTGAAATTCTGAACAATATACTGGAATAAAAGGTATATGAGGCCAGCCTGGTCTACAGAGAAAGTTCCAGGATGGTCAGGATTACACAGAGAAACCTTGTCTTGAAAAACCAAAAAAAAAAAAAAAAAAAAAAAGAAAAAGAAAAAGGTATATGAATGTGGTCTTTCAAATTATAATGTTGGGGCTGGAAAGATGGCTCAGTGGTTAAGAATATTGGCTACTCTTCCAGAGGACCTAGGTTCAATTACCAGAACCCACACAGCGGCTTATAACCATCTATGACTCCAGTTCCAGGAGATCCAGTGCCCTCTTTGGGTCTCTGTGGGCATCAGACATTCCTGTGGTACATAGACATGCATATAGACAAAACACTCATACACATAAAAAACCCAAACGATTGAAGGCTCACACTGGACTACTTCTTGTGATAGAGGGTCACACAGTGCCTCATGAGAGGAGATGAAGTCAGGTGAGAGCAGTCGGCACTCTTGAGGCGGCAGTGGGCTGCCTCTGTGTGGAAGAGCTCTCTTTAATAAAAGTTTCTGGAGATAGGGTCTGACTATGTAGCCCCCTGGCTTGTCTAGGACTCTTTCGAGCATTTTGGCTTCAAACTTGCAGTGATCCTCTTGCCTCTGTCTCTGAGTGCCTGGATTACAGATGTATAGTGTGTCTGGCTTCCAGAGGACCATTGGGAATAGGGAGGAAGGATTTATTATGTTTGGCTTGTGGTTTCCAAGGTTTTAGCTGGCCCAGTTGCTGTGGCCTATGATGAGACCCGGCATAAGGTGGCTGCAGTATGGGGCCAAACATAGTTGCTCACTTCATATCAGTCAGGAGGCAGAAAGAGATGGAGAGGCGCCTAGAGACAAGATACCCTTCATGTCTCCAGTAACCTGCTTCCTAAAGTTTCTACCACCTCCCCAAAATAGCACCAGCTGGGGACCAGCCCTTCAACATGTGAGCCCATGGGGGATATTTTCTATTCAAAACCCTGGTACTCCTAAGTTTTTTGAGTTTTGTGGTAATGGAGATCAAACACAGGCCTTGTACATGCTAGGTAAACACTACCACTGAGCCACTTGAAAGAACGTTATGATAAATAGTGCCTAAAATGAAATGTATCATTCTGTCATTTTAACACCTCTCCTCCTTTTTTGTGGATAAAGATTGAGATAGTCTCACTCTGTAGCCCAGGCTGGTCTAAACTTGCTATGAACTCTGCCTTCATCTCTTGTGTGCTGTGATTACAGGCGTGGACCACCACACCTGGCTGTACAAGGTCAAGTTCTATCAGCCTTTCACCTAACAATGGGTTTTAGTATTGATTAGTGAATTTTTCTTTTAGGTTTTTTTTTTTTTTAATTTATCTTGCAGAGGACCTAGGTTCTGTTTACAGCACTCACACAGCAGCTCACAACAATCTGTAACTCCAGTTTCAGGGGATCTGATGCCCTCTTCTAGTCTCTGTGGGCCACAGGCATTCATGTGGTAGACAGACATACATGCAGGAAAAACACTCACACACATAAAAATGAAACTAAAGGCAAAATTAATTTTTTAAAGTGAAAACTGCCACACATTAAAAAAATTGATTTTTTTTTTCTCATTTTGTTTTCAGTGTCTTGACTAATGTAAAGACAGTAGTCAGGGGTAGGCCTGGGGGCAGGCTGGACAGTGGCTAGCCAGAGCGAGGATAGACGAGCAGCCAGAGAAGGGAAGCTAAGTCCTTGGATTAGGGATGGGGAAAGGGCAGTCAAGACCATTACCTGATCCAAGGACTATTCAGCTCAAACTAAAACAAGCAGAGTGAATCCCTGACTGCTGTTTGCTCTTCACTGATAATCTGGGAGAGTATTCTACTTAGAGGAATAAATGCTTAGTTCTTTCTCTTTATAAAAATATTGTCAAAGTGTCATAGTCACTTCCAGTGGTGTCAAGTGAGGTCTTTATGTTTTCTATAGCTTTCTATTGACAATATCATGTACTTCTAAATGTTCGATCTCTTTTGGATTTTTTTTCCGGAGTGGGGGGCCTGCCTGCTTTCTCGGTGTAACAAACAGCTCTGGCCGTCCTGTAACTCACTCTGTAGCCCAGGCTGGCCTCAGACTCAGAGATCTGCCTGCCTCTGCCTCCCAAGTGCTGGGATTAAAGGCGTGCACCACCACCGCCCTGTTCTTTTTTGGATTTTTATTCATTTAAAATTATAATTGAATGCTGGGCATGGTGGCACACACATGCTTTTAATCCCAGCACTTGGGAGACAGAGGCAGATGGATCTCTGAATTCCAGGACAGCCTAGAATAAGTTTGGGAGCTATATAGTGATACCCCATGCCCCCCAAAAGATTGTAATTTGATATGAATGTGCCTTTTAAGTATATTTAACATTTCATTTTATTATATTTTCTAGTAAGAAGACAGCTTTAGAGTTGCAGATGTCGACTGTGGCCTTCCTAAGCACATTGGTATTGTCAGTGCCAGCCAGACAGTAAGTACTACTAAAACCATAGGGGATGAATATTTACATGTGAGTTTTCAAGCTTCCATTTACTTATTTGAGCCATTAAGAGAAAAATCATGAGAAAGCAGATATCAGAAATTTTTGTTACTAGACTATATGGAAGAGCTGGTGTTGTTGATGTTGTAAAACAGTGTTGACTTTGACAACTGTATTATGCCCCCAGTTTTTCCATTTAATGAGTGTTTTAGTCTCTCTATCCCTAAAATTTCTCGTCTTGATCTTTCATATTTTACTCATTGTTAGCCATCTACACATATCTTTCATATGTCTGTCTTATGTACGGAACCATGTTAAGAGCTTTAGGTCATGATCCATGTTCTCAAAAAAAATATGCTCATCAGGAAGATCAGCATCTCCAGATGAAACTGAAAGTCACTTTTGGTGTGGATACCCTGGTCAATCAATTTCTCCAGGTTCCGTCGAAGGTGGTGTAGGGAGCATAGTGCTCTGTGTGACGTGCTACAGTGCCTTCCCAGTGTTGAAGATGAAAATGAGCTTTTTGTGGGTCAGCACTGTGGATTCTGCGGGACAGTGACGGAGAAGACGGATCATGTCTAAAACATGTTTAAAAATATTACAGCAAATACAAGTTAGTGAACTAACAGTGGAGAGCCCTGAAACAGGCAAGATGAATATTGCAGTAGGAAAGGAGTGCAGGAAGCGTTGGAGGGTTGTAGAGAGGTATACCTTGCCTGTTCCTGGAACGAGGGCCGAATGCTGCCCAGCCCCTGGCTCAGCCATAACGGGGTGTCTCCAGAATACTCTATTTTTAATTGCTGTGTAATACTTAGTGGGTATTGTTGCCATAATTTAACCATTCTGTCTTCTGCTGATAGTCAGGATGTCTTCAGTTATCAGTTATTGTAGTTTTTATGATAGGGAGGTGCATGTTAAAGGTAATTGGTTTTATTTTCTATAAATTTTGTCTGTTTTGGTGACATACCCTTGGTATTTCCATGAGACTTTAGTATCTACCTTATCCTTAATCGTATTGTACACATATTTTTTAGAAAGGATTTACTAAGTAGCCCAGGTTGGATTTGAGTTCACAATCCTTTCTGCCTAAGCTTTGAGTGCTGGCATTACAAGTATATGCCGTATAGAATGCTTGAAATCATCTTTTAGGTGACATAATCTTAAGGAAAGAATGTATTTGGTTTTTTTTTGTCCCCTCCTCCCCTGCCAGACAGGGTCTCACTATGTAGATCTGGCTGTCCTGGAACTGGCTCTGTAGACCAGGCTGTCCAAGAACTCAGAGAGATCTGCCTGCCTCTGTCTCTGGAAGGCCTGGACTAAAGACATGTACTACCATGCCCAGTGAACTTCTGATGCTCCTGGCTCTGCCTCCCTAGTGCTGGGATTACAGGCATGTGCCACCACACCCAGTTTTGTGTAGTGCAGGCATCAAGCCCAGAGTTGTGTGTACGTTAGGTGAGTACTCTGTCAGCAAGTCCCAGTACTTTAGCTCTTTCAAATCATTTAAAAACGGGGCATTTAGGACTCTGGTATAGGATGATGAAAGTTCAAGGCCAGCTTAGTCTACATAGTAAGTTCAAGGCTAACCTACATAGTGAAGCCCTGTGATACACAAAGATTGTCCGATTAAAATTGAATATTAAGGTTGAAGTTTTGGGTACATATATATGAAATTTATGTTTATAGTGTTATTAATAATTGTTTTGCTTTTTGTTTTTTCAAGACAGAGTTTCTTTGTGTGACAGCTCTGGCTGTCCTGGAACTCGCTTTGTAGACCAGGCTGGCCTAGAACTCACAGAGATCCACCTGCCTCTGTCTCCTGAGTGCTGGGATTAAAGGCGTGCACCACCACCACCACCACCACCACCACCACCACCACCACCACCACCACCACCGCCCAACAATTGTTTATTTGAAAAAGCCAATCTTTTCACATTTCCCCATAGCACATCAAACCTTATCTATCCTTATTTCTGTATCTTTTTAGAATATATTCTCTTATTTAAGACAGGTCTGTTTGTGAACAAACTACAACTTTCTTCAACTCATGTCTTTAAAAGGCTCTCATGGAGAAAGGAAGACAAGACGTATGAGGTTAGATACTAATTAGTGAAATATAAGTCACTTACAGTACAATAAATGAGACTGATGTAAATTGGATACATAAAGTAAAGCGGATAGTTGAGATATTCTGCTGTATTTTTATTTATCAGAATTTCCCAATTGTACATTCAGTCTTCTTACATGATGATGTTTTTCCATATATCTGGACACGAAAAAGGAAAAGAGATATTTGTAAGCTGGATAAGTATAGAGGGAAGATAAGATTTACATTTGTATGAGATGATAGTAACCCCCAGTCTGAAAAAATTCATGTATTATATTATATTTGGAAAACGTAAAAGTAGTACATAACAAAGTAATGTATAAAATATAGGATCACTTATAATCCTTTGCCCTTTTTGATTCTCATTCTAATCCCGTTTTATTTGGGTGGCTATATAGATTATTTTTAGTTTGTGTCTTATTTTCTTTTTTAACATTGTAATTTTAAAAAACAAAACAAAAAACCTCCCTTAAATATTATCTAAAATCTTGACTTCAGCATCTTGGGTGGCCAAAGCAGGAGAATTGGAAGTTCAAGGCCTCCCTCTACTTGAGTGATTTTAAGACCAGCTTGGGAAACTTAATGATGTTCTGTCTCAAAATAAGAAAAATAAAAAGAGGCCTGAGAATATAGTTCAGTAGTAGAGCATTTGTCTAGCGTGCGTGAGGCCCTAGGTTTAACTCCTAGTGCTACAATAAACAAATAAACAAACAAACAAACAAATCCAAAGTATAGTCTTTAATTTTTTTCCCCTCTGTGTAGCCCTGGCTTTCCTGGAACTCTGTATACCAGGCTGGCCTTGAATGCAGAGCTGTCTTCCTGCCTCTGCCTTCCCAGTGCTGAGATTAAAGGTATGTGCCACTACCACCTCTCTTATTCTTTAAATTAATTTCTTGCTGTGTAGCCCATACTGGTCTTGAACTTTTGTACTTGAGTAATTCTTGTGCTTTGTGTCCACAGTAATCTGGACTATAGCTATCCTCTCGTACATTCATCTCAAAACATAGTTTTTAGTGACTGCCTGTCTTAGTCACTGTCCTGTTGGTGTAAGTAAACAGCATGACCAAGGCAACTCTTATACAAGAAACCATTTAATCGGGAACTTGACAGTTTCAGAGGCTTAGTTCATTATCATGGCAGGGAGCATGGCTTTGGGCAGGGTGGTGATGGAGAAGCAGCTGAGAGTTACGTCCTAATCTGCCAGCAGGGAGGGAGAGGGGCTGAGGTGGGGATAGAAACAGCCTGCTGGGCCCAGTCTACACCTCCTAACCCTCTAATCCTTTTCAGATCGGGCCACTCCCTAGTGACTACAGCATTCAAATATTTGAGCCTGTGCAGGTGCATTCTTATTCAGACCACCACATTGCCTAAAATTCTCTCTTACTGAGTAGAATGAGGAACCTTGTTTCTGCTTAGCAGTAAAACAACTCAATTTTTTTTTTTTTTTTTTGGTTTTTCGAGACAGGGTTTCTCTGTGTAGCTTTGTGCCTTTTCCTGGAACTCGCTTGGTAGTCCAGGCTGGCCTCGAACTCACAGAGATCCGCCTGGCTCTGCCTCCCGAGTGCTGGGATTAAAGGCGTGCGCCACCACCGCCCGGCAAAACAACTCAATTTTAAAAGGAGCAAGCTCCCAGCACTCGGGAGGCAGAGGCAGGCGGATCTCTGTGAGTTCCAGGCCAGCCTGGGCTACGGAGTGAGTTCTAGGAAAGGGGCAAAGCTACACAGAGAAACCCTGTCTCAAAAAACCAAAAAAAAAAAAAAAAAAAAAAAAAGAGGATCAAGTAATGCAAATGGACGTTGCTTCAAAGAAGATCCACAATCGGTAATGTACATATAACCTTGAACACATTAAGCCAGACTAGGTAAATCTAAATAAAATTGCTGTAGTTGAAAAGAAGAGCAGTAACGGGTCCTGGTGAGAGTGTAGTGAAGTTGGAGCCCTTGGACATTGCCAGGGGATGGCAGTGACGCACCTCCAGGAAAAATAGTCCAGTGGTTCCTCAAAGGGCACTTACCATCTGACTCAGAATTCCATTTTCAGAAATATGAAAACATGTAACTACAAAACTAGTATTCAGGAAGGTTTAGAAGGGGGCTGGAGAGATGGCTCAGTGGTTAAAAGCACTGGCTGCTCTTCCAGAGGACTCAGATTAATCCAAGCACCTACATGTTGGCTAACAACTGTCTCTAATTCCAGTTACTGGGACTTCTAGCCTCCTTGGGCACTGTACACATGTGGTACACTTACGAACTTGCAGGCAAACACCCATGCACATAAAATAAATATTTAAAAAAGAATGCTTAGAGTAAGAATATGTATTATAATCAAAAAGGTATTCAAATATCCATCCTTTGGAAAGTTGTTAAATAAGATACAGTGTGTTTGGACCATAGCCTGTTGCTTAGCAACAAAGTCAATGAAGTGCTGCTGTCATAGGCTATAACTTGGGTGAAGTTTGAAAATGTAAAGCGAAACAGCACGCAAACGTGATGAAAAGCCATACTGCGTGGCTCCATTTACACAGTGTCCCTGAGTGGCAGTCTCCATAAACAGATTTGTGGTTGACAGGGGTGAGTGGGGAATGGGATGGAGTGCTCATGGGTGAGGCTATGTTAGGAATGTTCTGGAATTAGGTTGTCGTGGCAATTGTACAGTTCCGTAAATATACTGAAAAACCTGAATTGTGTGCTTCCAATTCCAATGGTAAATTTTAGACTAGTGGAGTTGCTGAGTGGTAGAGCACCTGCCTAGTATATGTGAGGCCCTGGGTTTAATCCTTTGCACCACAAACACCAAAAACCCAAGCAATAAATTAGAAAGAAGAAAGAGGCTACAGAGGTGTATCTCAGCAGTTACCAGTACTTGCTGCTCTTGCAGAGACTCTGGGTTTGGCTCCCAGCACTATTCTGTGCAGTTTACAACCACCTCTATCTCTAGTTTAAGGAGTTCTGACACACTCTTCTGGCTTCTGAGGGCACCTGCACATGTGTGGTACACACATAGACAACTAAGCGCAAACACACACTCACAGGTGTAAACAGAAAGAAAAATACCCCTAAATTAGTGGTTCTCAACCCATGGATCATGACCCCCTTGGAGATCGAATGACCTTTTCCGACGGACCATTGGAAAACACAGATATTTACATTAAGATTCATAACAGTAGCAAAATTACAGTTATGAGGTAGCAACAAAATAATTTTATGGTTGGGGTCACCACAACATGAAGAACTGTATTAAAGTGTCATAGCATTAGGAAGGTTGAGAACCACTAGCTAGTGAATTTTATGATACATATATTATGTTTTAATAAAGATGATATAATAATAGGTAATTGGGAGCCCACACACTTAAAAGTATGTCCAGATAAGAGGGTGCTATCTTTAATCCAGGTGGAGATAATGAGAATTGGTTGGATTACCAAATGTACCTTTTCTTTTTTACATGTTTTTTCGAGATAGGGTCTCACTATGTAGCCCTGGCTGTCCTGGAACTCACTACGTAGACCAGGCTGGCCTCAAACTCACAGATACCCCTGCCTCTGCCTCCTGAGTACTGGGATCAAAGGTGTTAGCCATTGTGCCCAGCTACCAAACATATTTTGAATTTTGAATTAGCAGGTTTTGCAAAGTGCTTGAGATATGAATTGTGAGGGAAAAGGGAGTCAGGAGCTGCTCGTGTGGTACCAGCTTCCAGTCCCAGCACTCTGCTAGGAGGAAGCCAGTTGGGCCTGTGGAGTAAGATACTGTCTTAAAACAACAACAAAATGACTATTACATTTTGTTTTCAGCAACTGGCATTATACTTAGCTGAGATTTACACATGCCTGGCTTGGATGTTTATTGAATACTGTGTATCTCTGAACTAGAGGAGAGAGTTTAAGGGAGGAAGGATTTCTGCTGCTCCTTGTTTCAGAGGTTTCTATCAGCACACTGGCTCTTTTGCTTGTGGGCGCTCGGGTGAGGCACAAAACCATGGCTGGAGCATGTGGAGAGCAGAGCAGTTTTCTCCCTGGAGTTGGGTGAATCAGATAGGGAGACAGGAAGAACCAGGGCCAGACAGACTCTTTATGTTACACCTGGTGGAGTGACCTACTTCTGCTTCCTCCAAACAAGTTCCACCTCCAGGCCCACTGTCCAATTGTTCATCCATCCGTGTGTTGGTCTTGATTAGGTCAGAGCTCTTGTGATCTCATCACATCTCAACCATCAGATCTACCAGCTGAGGATCAAACTCAGGGGAGAGTTTGATGTCAGAGCCAGGAAGAGTTGCTTGTTAAATTAGAGCATGGTAATTTGTTAGCATGTTGCTTGGGTTTTAGGCAATTAGGTTGAATGAATCCACCTAAGAGTAGATGAGGCAGACAAAAAGAGGTCTGAAGAAGCCTTGGCCACTCCATTGTTTCAAGGGGAGAGATAAGAAAACCCCGAGAGTGGTAGTGTCCTCTAGGAGACTGATCTCAGGATGAGTGGATCAGCTGTGAAAAGGTAAGGACTGAGAAATGAACTTGAGATCTAGATTTTCCTGACTTTTCCTCTCCCTCTGCTCGCTGCTTCTCCTCCCCGCTTTGATACTTGGGATAGAACCCAGAGCAGCCTCATGAACCACTGAGCTATATTCCTAGCTAAATCCTCTTTCTACTGGTTGCTAACATACAGAAATATAGGTGGAGCATTGTTCTGCAAGCCTGAAGGTCTGAATTGGATCTGTGGAACTCATGTAAGGTGGAGGGAGATAAACTAACTCCACATGTGGACCGTGGCACACCCACCCCTACCCCCACGTCTCAAGCACACATGATAGTAACAACAACAATGTAGTTATCAAAACATGCCATCAACCTTGCTAAATTACCTGATGAATTCAGTGCTCTATAATGATAGTTCTGTATACGTATTTCTTTTCCTTAGAACATTTTAATTTTTTCCTGGCTTTTTGAGACATAGCCTAGCTGTCCTGGAATTCACTATGTAGACCAGGCTGGCCTGGAACTCACAGAGATCTGGCCTGTCACACCTGGCTTTTTCCCCCAAGAACTTTTATTTCCTTTCCAGCCTGCATGCTGCCTGTGACCTCTGGTACAGTGTAGTAAGGAAGTGAGCGTAGCAAGCATCTGCTTTTCTGTTTGCAGAAGGAAAGTGTCAGCAGTTTACAGCTCAGTGGAGGCATTGTAAGTGCCCTCATCAGTTCCTTCTACTTCCGGTTTGTTCGAGTTAGTGTGAGCACCTGTGGGTGTTTTTTTCAGGTCGGTGCTCTGTGCACAGTGAGTTGATTGTGTCATTTTTTCCCTTTGTTTTGTTAATACCAGAATGGTATTGATTGAATTTTCAAACATTAAAAGAGTCATAGTAATAAATTGGTGCCTTGCATTTGTATGTCACTAATGTAACTGAAGTGGTTGAAGTTTGCATATAAAGTGTTCAGAGGGCTCTCGTGTTAAAGGCCTCGTCCCTAGCTGGTGGACATGGACTTAGAGAGGTGATTGCATCACAACAGCTTTGATGTAGTCAATGGATCTGTTCACTGGTCAATTCATAATTTGGCATTAATTAAAAAGGGTGGAAACCAGGAAGTGGGTCCTGGTTGGAGGAAGTAGGTGCTGAGCAGGGAGGCAGCATCCCTGTGAAGGTTGTCCCCGCACTTCTCACCTTCTCCTCCAGGAGCTGGCAGGAAGCAGCCTCCCTGTCACTGTCATGCCTCTCTGATCTGCCTCATCCTAGGGGCCATAGCTATGGAGCCATTCGACAGAAGCTAAACCCCGACACCATGACTCAAAATAAATAATTTCTCTCTCAGTTTATTGCAAGTATTTTGTCACAGTGACCAAAAAGAGCAGCGTATCTGTTACTGTCTCTATATGTTTGCTTTAGTGAGATAATCCTATAATTTACTAGTGTAGTGTCTTTGCGGGTTTCATTTTCATGGCTTGGCTCACTGGCCAGTGAGCCCCAGGGCGCTCTCTTCTCTTTCCTTCTCTGCTCTGGGATTTTAAGCAACTATACTATGCCTAGCTTTTTATGGGGTTCTGGGGACTGAAGTCAGGTCCTTATGCTGGTGCCTCAAGCTTTTTTCAGATTGAACTATCTTCCCCAGCTCCAGGACTTGGTCTTGTTGACTTATTGATCAGTTAAAAAAGCATGTTGTTCAGGTTCCAAGTGTTTGAAGGTTCTCCTGTTGTCTTTCGTACTGATTTCTGGTTTGTTTCTTTGCAGTTAGAGAGCATACAGACTCTCAGTTCTTTGAAGCTCGTTAAGACTTGTTATGTCTTGTAGGTTATGGTTTATCGTGGTAAACTTCTGTGTGTGTTTGAAGGAATGTCTGTTCTGCCACTGTGGAGAGGAATGTTCCATGAATGTTGTTGACTAGATCCCTAATTGTCTGTGGTGTTGGGCTCTGTATTCTTGGGTACTGTCTAGTTGTTCTACAGACTTCTGATAGTGTGGTACTGAGATCTTGACTAATGTGAAACTTGTTTTCCTTTTAGTTCTGTCAGTTTTTATCTTTGCTGTTTGTAGTTACGTTTTTGATGCATACACATTTAGTGTTGTTATATTTTTTCTGGTGGATTAGTCCTGATTATTACACAATGACCTCTTTTTTGCCCTCTGATAATCTTTGCTCTAAATTCTACTTATATCTGATATAATATATAAAAAGTAATTTTCTTTAATTTTAATTAATTTAAATTTAGGCACATGTGGCTGGTGGCTGTCATATTACTGGAAGGTGGAGGCAGCTATGACACAAATTTAATGAAAAGGTAAATTTTATAGTATGTTAAAGATGTCAAGGGCAGTGAGTTGGTTAGCTGGAAAGGGGAGATTGAGACAGACGGACGGACGGAGTGGGATAGTTGGCTTTGAATTGGATAGTCAGGAAAGAGATTCTTGAATATGACACCTGAAAAGAGAACACACATTTTAGAGTGAGAATCACCAATGCTTATATCTTATGGGAAGAATATTTCAAGGCTGGCAGGGAGGCAGGCCATTGAATGAACTTGAGCTTTTACTCTGAATGTAAAATCCTGATCCACGCTGACTGGGTTTTGTGAAGATTACTGTGGCTGATATGTTGAAAATAGACTCTAGGGACTGTGCTGCAGTGGGGACAAGTGGGGAGAGGAATGTGGGAGCAAGCTAGGGTAGATTTTGGGGAAAATATCAAGGCATTTAGTTTCGGAGGTTTTAAAGAGATGATTAATTTTAGAGATGATATGTTGGAGCTGTTTATTAGACATATCCAAGCAGAGAAAACAAGTAGACTGTGGATGTATTCCAGATCCACAAGTCCCTCCCCTTGTGGAACTTAATCCTACGGGATAGGATAGTAGACACATTGGTAAATAAACGCAGTAAGCGAATAACATACTGGAAGATAACAAACACGTAGGAAGAAAATCCAAGGAAGAAATGAAGTATGGTTTTAAGGGGAGTGCGGATGCAGCTCAGTTAGTAGAGTGTTTGCCTAGCATACACAAAGCCCCGGGGTTTGATCCTGGCACCACATAAAACTGGAGGTGGAGGCAGGAGGATCAGAGGTTCAAAGTCATTCTTGGATGTATAGGGAGTTCAGGGTCACCTGGGCTACATGAAAAGATTTGTTGTACTGAATTCACAATATGGTCACATTTGCGTACTAATAAGGTGGTGAGAAAACCCATTTATAGATACCTGGTAGAAAAGTGGGTAGAGGGAGCCGGAGGGTAAAGGGTCCCAGGTCGGAGCATGGCTGAAACGTTTGAAGAGGAGCAAAAGAGCCAGGAGGCTGAATGTGCTTCAGGTGGCAAGTCAGGGGCGGTTAGGGGATGGGGGACCCTGATGGCAAGGGTCTGCATGATGGACTCCTTTAGTGGCGCTCCATCCTGAGTGAGCTGGGAAGTCAGGGACAGTTAGCAGAAGGAAGGTGTCACCCAGCCTGTGAATTAGCTGTCACTGCCAGTGTTAAGTCGATTGAAAGAAAAAGAACGGAAGCGGAGTGATTGGTTAGTCTGGTAGTGTGATCTAGTGGAAAGGCTATGATGTTAAGTCTGGGGTGACAGCAGTGGGTGGAGGGGGAGCACATTTGAGGAACTGCATTGCCAGGTTGTCTTTCCACCTGGACGAGCGGCAAGGGTTATTCCAAGATTTTGGAAGCATCTAGAAGGTTAGAGTTACACTCACTGAGATGGAAGAACCAGGAGAGCCGATTTGAAGGGGTGATTGGGGGCTCAGTCTCGGACAGGTCGAGTTTAGGATACCTATTAGATATCTGAGTAGAGGTGTTCAATGGGTGTACTGGTCATGTTTATGGGCCCTTTTATGCCTAAGAGATTAAATAATGATATTAAAACAGTACATTATTATTTAAAACTGTTAGGCTATATTGTGATTTTAGTTTTTAGCGTGTCCAACCCTGACAAAACTGGAGTGCTTTGGGGATAAACTGGCGTGTTTTGGCCTTGCTGCCAGAGTCAGTGGTACTTAAGAGTTACACAGAGATGTCATTCCATCTTAGAAGTGGAAATATAACTATGTAGTCTGAGTATTTTTACTTGCTTTCTATTTTAGGTCCTATTACTACTGGATTTGCAAGATTTTTAATACAATTTTTTCTTTGAATTATGATTTAAATGTCAAAAACCTTTAAATTTTTTTAAAAAGGGCAATATTTTAGTTTTGGAAGTCAGAATGCCAAGGAAAAGGAAAAATCTTGGGGGCAATCCTTTTCGGAAGACTGCAAACTCTCAGGAAATTGTCGTATCCCGTGTTGCTAGTCATGAGGAGCCAACCACTACTCTTCCTTCCAAGTGTGAGACAAAAATTGATCAGGAAGAACTCTTCACCAGTATCTCAGAGATGTTTTCTGCTCTGGATCCTGATGTAGTGTATTTGATGCTTTCTGAATGTGATTTTAAAGGTGAGAAAAGTTTAGTTTGAATCCTTTGCATCTTATAAGAAGACTTCATGTTCTATACCATGATGAATAGCAATGCAGAAAAATGATATTTTGTTTATCGTATGTTAAGTATCTCCCATAGACAAAGGTATTAAGTTTGGTATCACTGGAGACATGAAAAATAAAGATGCTTTCCACTGTAAAGAAATGTACTGTTGTAAGAGGTACGAATACAAGTAGAATCTACACTTCATTCTCTCTTATCTCTAGACAGGTTGGTGCTATTATCATCTTTGAGTTTGTTTGCCTTATTTGTTAATGAGAAATAATAGTATGTATCATATAGGGTAGGACTTTTTTGGTGAGGATTAAAGGTTTATTTTGTTGTTTGGTTTTGGTAAAGACTTCAGTATAGTGTACTATAAATACCTGTAATAAATTGTTTAGAAGTATGTTTGTAGGCCTGAGTGGATAAAAGTTAATATTGGTTTTGGCTATGGTTATTATAAGATAAGATCATTCTAGATTTGAAGGTCTTGCTAATGCCTGGTAAACTGACATTCTACATCTTTGTGTGAGCTGCGATGTGAGCATGTCTCTCCTGTTATGTTGTGTACCAAAACCCAGGGTTCATTTGGTGCTCAGAAATGATAGCAGGTAGTGTGCTGTAACTAATATACTTATTTCCTAATTTTGTTGTCTTTAAATTTTATCTGTAGAACATACATGTATAAGGCAGTGGGGAATTACAACCATATTATTCTATGTCCTAACAGACTCATTTCTCTCGTTCAGGATCTCCTGTAGACCTTCTTTGTAAACACTTGATGTTATGAATACTTTGAATAATAGCATTGGCATTTTATAGTCTGCCTTTTAAAACTTAGTATAAAGAGAGAGTTTTCAGTGCTCTTATACATTTCTCTATAACAAGCTTTATATGTCTCTTTGGGTGGCTTCCCAGTGCTCCAGTGAGTTGTATTCTAATTTATTTATTTCTATCTAAGTTTCTCATGAATCGTATTACAAAGAACATTTCAGTGAAAGTGTCCTTTTGTTTCCTTTCACTTCTCTTCTTAGACCCAAAGCTTTATTTCTGGCACCACAGGTTAAGAATAATTTTCTGGCCAGGTGGTGGTGCTGCACGCCTTTAATCCCAGCACTCTGGAGGCAGAGCCAGGCGGATCTCTGTGAGTTCGAGGCCAGCCTGGTCTACAGAGCGAGATCAAGGACAGTCAGGACTACACAGAGAAACCCTGTCTCGAAAAACCAAAAAAAAAAAAAAAGTTTTCTGGGGCTAGAGAGATGGCTCTGTGGTTAAGAACTCTGACTGCTCTTCCAGAGGACCTGGGTTCAATTCCTAGCACCCACATGGCAGCTCACAACTGTCGGTAACCCCAGTTCCAGGGAACCTGATACCCATGGCAAAACACCAATGTACTTAAAATAAAAATTAATATATTAAAAAAAAGAATAGTTTTCTGGTCTTGGAAATATACTGCTAAATACCTACCAGTGAGGTATGCCGGTATGTAACACCACCACAGCCTTCTCAGCATTGTGAATAATTATTTTAAGGTCTTCATAGGAATAAAATTGTGCCTTTTCTTAATTTTTAAAATAAAGAATAATGTTGAATATTTTTATATTTGAGGTTTTCTCATATTTTATATAAATTATTCATTTAGTTTTTAAGATTGTTTTTATATCATAGTTTTAGATTTTCTAGCAGTCTGTTTAAGACTTCTTTCTAATGATAATTACCTCTTGGTATCTTGGTATTGTACTTTATACTGCTGTTCTATATAAATATGCTAGTTCTCTGGTTGGTCATTTTTGGTTTATCTGCTGTGTAGGGTTTTGGCTTTTCTTCCGTTTGCTTTTTCAACCCTGTACTTTGTTCCGGTGTTTCGGCTTCTTGTCTTTGCAGTTTTGCTCTGTGCTCCTAACTGACCTCTCCGCCAGGCTTGCCCTCCAACCCTCTTTGTTTTCTCTTAAGGGAACATTAATTGGGTGCTTGCTAGGTGCCAGTCCTTGGGCACGGCACTTTTCATGGATTATCTCATTTAACCCCACAACAACCCATGAGGTAGGTGTTTTTATTGTCCCCGCATTACAAACAAGGTCAGCTTAGGGAGGTTAGCCAGCTTGTTTGAAGGGTCATACCGAGCACGTAGAGATTGAATGATGGTGTTCTGACTCCACAACAGAGCTGGGTCCTGTGTACTATGCTTTTTCCATGTTTATCTTCTTTTAGACAAAACAGTACAAAAGGGAAACAAAATGAAAAAGACCTCCAAATTTCACTTAAAGATTACTTTTTTCTTTTCTTTTCTTTTTTTACTTTGAGACAGGGTTTCTCTGTGTAGCTTTGGAACCTGTCCTGGAACTCACTCTGTAGCCCAGGCTGGCCTCGAACTCACAGAGATCCGCCTGCCCCTGCCTCCCGAGTGCTAGGATTAAAGGTGTGCGCCACCACCACCACCGGGCAAGATTCCTTTGTTCTTGTGGTGCCTGTTGTCAAACCCGGGGCCTCAAGCACTCTGACCAGCGCTCTGCTGCTGAGCAGCATCCCTAGCTCTCCGTGTGGAAACCTTACAGCGCTCCGACTGTCTTACAGCAAGAGCTCAGCACTGGAGTCAGACCCCGCGGCCTGCTCTGTTGCCCTGTCACTGCGTCCCTTGGGTCCAGTTCCTAATGCTTCGTTGAGCCTCAGTTCCTTTATGCTTTCTAGGATGATAGGTCTTCAGTGTTAATGGAAGACTCAGTGAGGTGATCTGTAACGCTCCGTGCCCAAATGCTGTGGCTGGTAGTTTTCCTTCCTACATTCCCTTAGAAAACCAAGTGTGCCATCCAGGACCCTCTCAGTTCTACTCAGTCTCCTCCAGTTTTTTCTCCCTCCTTTATCCACTGCACAGAACCCTGGGAGCTAACTCTCCGCCCAACTTCTGCGAGTACTTGAAACAGGTTTTATATTTTCTTTTTGAGACAAGGTCTCACTGTGTAGCCCTCTGCTGTCCTGGATCTCTCTATGTAGACCAGGCTGGCTCACAGAGATCCGCCTGCCTCTGCCTTCCGAGTGCTGGGACTAAAGGTGGTTTTGTATTTTCAAGCTTGGCTTTAACTTTTGCCCTGTTTGGCAATTTGATTTTTAATCTTCTAAGTGCCAGATCATATATTACTTTATGTGAAATCTTTCCTGTTCTCCTGTCACTATAATATTTCTACGTTATTAGAAGTATACACTGCTTAATTTATATTATGATATATTTTAATGTACATGTCTTTATAGTCCATTTGAATTTTATAAAGTCCTTTGTATTAAAAATATGTCTTCATTTTTGTGCAAAGTTTTTCTGATGCATATTTTTTTTTTTTTTTTTTTTTTTGGTTTTTCGAGACAGGGTTTCTCTGTGTAGCTTTGCGCCTTTCCTGGTACTCGCTTTGGAGACCAGGCTGGCCTCGAACTCACAGAGATCCACCTGGCTCTGCCTCCCGAGTGCTGGGATTAAAGGCGTGCGCCACCACCGCCCGGCGCGATGCATATATTTTTGTTGTTGTTGTTTGTTTTTCGAGACAGGGTTCTCTGTGTAGCTTTGCGCCTTTCCTGGAACTCGCTTTGTAGACCAGGCTGGCCTCGAACTCACAGAGATCCACCTGCCTCTGCCTCCCGAGTGCTGGGATTAAAGGTGTGCGCCACCACCGCCCGGCTTGCATATATTTTTTATATTGTGAAAAACATAGTGTGGACCATGTAAATTAATAGATTTACTAAGAGAATACATATTTAAAATATTTTATCCTTAATAGGACATCCAGTAGGTAAATAATTGTTGAATGAATCAGCTGACTTTAGGACCTTTATAAATGACCTTAATATATATAGTCTTTGTTTATACTCATTAAACTGATCAAAGATTTTTAGTTGATAGTAGTTTATTACAGTTTGAAAGAACACTATTCCATGACTCTGTCTCTGATACTTACCTAACATAGATTTTGATTTCCTAGAGTAGTGTTAATTTTCCAAAGATGACCTGGATACTGATACATTTTCAGTGTGTATATGCATTTTTGCTGTTACTCTCATTGTTCTCATGCAGTTGAAAATGCCATGGACTGTCTGTTAGAGTTATCTGCAGCGGATGCCAAGATGGAAGACTCCCCTTCACCAACGGCTGCTTGTGAGGACAAGCCAGGCGCGTCAGGCCGTGCGGTGATGGAGATGCAGCCTCCTGCAGGGGAGAGTGAAGACTCAAAACTGGATTCATTTTTGGATATGCAGCTAACTGAAGACTTGGATTCCTTAATACAGAATGCTTTTGAGAAATTGAATTCTTCCCCTGATGACCAAGTATATTCATTTTTGCCTTTGCAAGATGCTAAGAGTTTTAATGACCCTTCTACCTTTATGAATTCAGATTCAAGTGGTATGCCTTCCGTTCTTTCTGTACAGAATACGGGGTCAAACAGTGAAATTCTCCAGAGTTCGGCTGCTTCGCTAGGTTCAAACCCACTAACTTCGCCTTCAGTTTTGAAGGAGCCTGAAAGTTGTCCACAGGGGAGCACGCTGGCATTAGAAGGGAGCTTCCCCGAAGACTCTCCTCTCACTAGCTCTTTAAATCCAGCAAATGGCTCTGGTGGGGGTTGTGGCAATTTTAACCAAAGACCAAAAGACCTTTTAGAACCCGAGTGTCCTAGTGCACAGCGTTCTCAAGCCCTGGTAGATTTGGGTTCCAGTGAACCTCAGGTTCCTTCAAATCTTCCTCTGCAAAGTCCAGGGTGTGACTTACCAGGTGCAGATGGGGACCAAAAGTCTGCTTCTGTGCCTGATGTTTTTGTGCCCTCTGAAGGATTTGGTTTCAAGCCACACAAACATCCTGAACTGCCACCGAAGGGGAAGGACATGAATTACTGCCCAGTCCTCACCCCTCTCCCTTTGCTCCTCCCCCCTCCGCCGCCTCCACCTATCTGGAATCCCATGATTCCTGCTTTTGACCTCTTTCAAGGCAACCATGGCTTCGTAGCGCCTGTTGTGACCACAGCTGCACACTGGAGACCTGTCAACTACACGTTCCCACCCTCCATTATCTCCCACACTTCCCCCACGAAGGTGTGGAGGAACAGTGAGGGAGCCAGCGCTTACCAAGTGCAGGAGGCCCCCGTGGCCCAGCCCGCCAGGAAGAAGACCACGGCCTACGTGGGCTTAGTGCTCGTGCTTCTCAGAGGGCTACCCGGCTCGGGGAAGTCCTTTCTGGCAAGGTAGGAAGTTTGATTGGCATCTTCTCGAAAGAATAATGCATGAATTTGTACAGCTAATGTGAATATACAGAATACTTTGTAAACAGGTGGTTAATAACGCAAGTATTTTTTCGTTGCCATTTCTTCTAAGATAATATTCGTTAGCTGGGTAGTGGTGTTGCATGCCTGTGATCCCAGCACTTGGGAGGTAGAGGTAGACAGATAGACTCTGAGTTTGAGGCCAGCCTGATCTACATACTGAGTTCCAGGACAGCTAGGGATGTTACACAGAGAAATTCTGTCTTGAAAAACAAAACCAAAAAATACTCTTTTCTAAAAGTTGTTATTGAAATCTTTTCTCAGAACATCTTTGACAGACAAAAGAAAAAAATTAAAGATAGTTTTAAGATCCTGAGACTATGAAATACCTTTCTGTGGATGAGAGCTAATTTGAATGGGAGAAAGATGAGTTTAACTTTGTTTATGGGGTATAAAAGCCAGACTTGAAAACTAAGAAAAATTGTCAGGCGTGGCAGCGCACACCTTTAATCCTAGCACAAATTTCAATCCCAACACTCAGGAGGCAGAGACAGTAAGATACCTGGGTTCAAGGCCAGCCTGGTCTACAGAGCAAGTTCTATGCATAGAAACCCTGTCTCAAAAACAAAAACAAAACAAAAAAACAAACCAATAAAACAACAAAAATAAAATGCCTCACAAAAAACAAACGAAACATGATTATAAGGGAGAGAGATGAATAGTAGTTATCACACAACCCAAGGATTTTAAACTTTTTACTTTTGATTTTTGAGACAGGGTCTTACTCACTGTGTAGTCTTGACTAACCAGGATCTTAGTATACAGACCAGGCTGGCCTTGAACTCACAGAGTTCTGTCTCTGACTCCAGAGTGTTCAAATTAAAGCTTTATTTTGTTGGAAATACAATTCCTTTGCTGAAGTTTTCCTGCCAGTTTTGTAGTTTGCATAGGTTGCTAGTGCTTTGATGTGGGAGACCGGAATCGAGGTTAGAAATAGCCCTGTAATTATGGCTTCAAAGGTGGTCGTTAATAGTATTACTTCCTTAGTTCCTCTCCAGAGCCCTTGGCCCTTAAACTTTAAGATATATTTGCTTTTTTTCCTCCTGAATTGGAATTTATTTTTGTAGCCATTGACTTTTTTCTTTGATTTAGCAATAGCATGGGAGGGGTGTGTGTGTGTGTTTTGAGATAGAGGGTCTTGTATCCCAGTCTGTTCTCAAACTCACAGGTACTGTAGCCAAGGTCATGCATTTCTGTACTCCTGCCTCTAAACTCTCAAGGGCTGGGATTATAGGTGTGTGCCATCATAGCTGACTCATGTGGTAATAGGGATCAAACCCAGGACCCTGTGCATGGTAGGAAAGCATTCTACCAATTGAGCTACATCTCTAGCCCCAATAATAGCAATATAAAGTAATTTAATGTTACCTTTTTTCTTTCTTCGAGACAGGGTTTCTCTGTGAAACAGTCCTGGCTGTCCTAGAACTCACTCTGTAGACCAGGTTGGCCTTGAACTCACAGAGATCTTCCTGACTCTGCCTCCCAGGTGCTGGGTTTAAAGGCTGTGCCACCACCGCCCGGCTGTTACTTACATTTTGTATTAAAATATTAATATAAAGTCAGTTATGGCAGTTGTTTGTGAAATGAATGGGAATGAAAGTAGTACTTTGAAAGGTGATAGATCGTAGAGCTAGGTTTCAGGGTCAAAGCCAAAGTGTGGTTTTGAGAGAGGGAACAGAAGTTTTTGCCATAAAATAGGAGCTGTCTATCAGTTTATAGAAATAAGTAGGATTATGGTCCATAACATTAAGTTAGCATTAGCATGTGACATGAGGAGACCTGATGGAACAGCACGGTTTTTGGATTTATTGGAAAGGTCATGGATGGATATCTCTCTCTCTTTTTTTTTTTTAATGTAATTTCCTTATACTGTAAGTGTAGAAGACAGAGGCTAAGAATTGATTCTGGACGTTGAGAAAAGCTGAAAGGGACCCACAGTGTGGTTTCACCTTTTTTCTCTTAGGTATGTGTGTGTTTGCGTAAGTGTAGGTCTGTGTGTATTTGCAAGTACATGTGTGGGCATGTGTGGAAGCCCAAGGTTAATTTTGGGTGTCTTCCTTAATTGCGTTCCCCCTTTTTCATTGAGTCAGGGTCTCTCAGTTGAACCCAGAGCTTGCTGTGCAAGTCTGGCTAGCTAGCTTGCTCCAGGCATCTCCCGTCTCCATCTTCGCAGCCCTGGACTTACTGGGAGGCTGCCGTACCCACGCAGCACTTTTCCATAGGTCCTGGACATCTGAGCAGCCTTCATGCTGCGTGACCCGTAGTTCATACAGCTGTAGTCCAGAGAGCTCAGACCGTGCATGTTGCAAAGGAGAAGAGCACCACTGTGCTGACCATGCCTGCCGTCTCAGCACTGGCGAGGTGAAGGCTGCAAGATCAGGTGTTCAGGCTCACCCTTGGTTAGGTCGTAAGTTTGAGGCCAGCCTGGGATGCGTGAGACCTGTTTCATAAAACCAAACCAAACTGTATTCTGAGTAATTTGTATAAAGCAAAAAAGACCTATCTTGGCTTAGTTTTTTTTTTTCTTTCCAAGAGTTGAACTTTTTTTTTTGATTTTTCGAGACAGGGTTTCTCTGTGTAGCTTTGCGCCTTTTCCTGGAATTCACTTGGTAGCCCAGGCTGGCCTCGAACTCACAGAGATCCGCCTGGCTCTGCCTCCCGAGTGCTGGGATTAAAGGCGTGCGCCACCACCGCCCGGCGAGTTGAACTTTTGCTTAGAGAATTTCCAGTGTAATTTGTTTGAATTTATTGTTCCTTTAAATATTATTACTTAAATTTCTATTTGAAGTATGACCATAAAAGAGAATTTTGGAAGGAAAATTAATGAAAATAATCCCTTTTGTCATTCATAGGACTTTGCAAGAAGATAACCCAAGTGGAGTCATTCTTAGTACTGATGATTATTTTTATATAAATGGACAGTACCAGTTTGATGTAAAGTACTTAGGAGAAGCCCATGAATGGAACCAGAATCGAGGTAAGAGCAGGTGTTAGGGTCTGCATAATGTTAAAAGTAGGTTGTATAAAGAGAAAGTTTTCTTAGGATTGTTTTTTGAGAGACACAGCACTTTCAAAAACTTTGTTTCCTCATGACTTGTGGTATTTAACACAGGCCACACAAGTGTGCTGTCTCTGAGCTATGGCCAACCCCAGCCCTAAAGAATTTGTAATTAGCCAGGTGTGGTGGTGCATGCCTTCAATTCCAGCACTTCAGAGGTAGAGGTGGGAGGACCTCTGAGAGGCCAGCCTGGTCTACAGAGTGAGTTCCAGGGGCTACACAGAGAAACCCTGTCTCAAAAAAACCAAAAAAAAAAAAAACAAAACAAAAAACCCCAAAAAAAGAAACAATAAAATTTTGGGGCAGGAGGACATGTGTTCAATTCTCAGCCCCCACAGAAAAGTCAGCCCTGGCAGTGTGTGCTTGTCATCTTAGTGCTGGGGAGGTGGGGACGAGGAGGCCCGGGGGCTGGCTGGGCAGGCAGTCTAGCCAGATGGGTGGGTGCCAGGTTTATTGAGAGAGCCTGCCTCAAAAGTAAGGACAGCACCTGAGCTGGGCAGGGCTGACACATGCACTGGGAGGCAGAGCAGGTGGAGCTCTGTGAGTTCAAAGCCAGCCTGGGCTACAGGTCTACAGAGAGACCCATGTCAACCTCACACTCCTGTGTGACACACACACACACACACACACACGCACGCACGCACGCACGCACGCACGCGCACACACACACACACACACACACACACACACGCACGCACACACACACAGGTCTCCCTCTCTTCATTCCCCTCCATAAAGTAATAAATAAAGTTGAATTTTGTGGAGAGGATTGGAATGTTTAGGTTTCATGTAAGCAGTGGGGATCTTGTCGGAAATCCGTCTTCTCTTCTAGTGTCTCAGTAGTAAAGAAAATGACAAGTTGTCCATGCGTTCTGGTCTGCCCTCTTCCTCTAGGTTGTCTCCTCCCCACCCTCTGATCTCCACACAAGCTTTATTTGTCAGAACACAAACAAAGTATCACACAACACTGGCCATCTTGGAAATTGGTGACCTTTATTTTTATTACCTAGCCATGGCCCCTCTCTGTCTGTCTGCCTACCAGGAAGTCTAATGTCTAGACTTTCACCACCGTGCCCACTCTGTATTTAATATTATTACAATGACAACATTTTGTATTGTATTTTTCAGCAAAAGAAGCATTTGAGAAGAAGGTATCTCCAGTAATCATAGATAATACAAACCTCCAAGCATGGGAAATGAAGCCATATGTTGCTTTGGTTTGTACCATAATTTTGTAATACTGGGTTTGGAGTCACTGAAGGGGTGTTAATCTCGCCAGTGATTCTCAAGTACTTGAGACTATCTTGGTTTGCCCTGGTTTGGTCTTTGGTGAAATGAGGAGAGGAAGACAACCGGTTTGACTGAGCTTTTCTGTCCAGCTAGGTTCACCCAGCCTGAAAATTCCGATGTTCAAATGTTACCTTCCCTCCTTCCTCCCCTCCCTTCCATTGCATCTTCTAGGTGTGCCGCTGTGCTTGGTATACAGTAACTTTATTGACTACAGCTGATAAATGAAGCTTTTATTATAGTTCCTTTTTGGGGGGTGATGCAGTCCTCCATTACTAGCACATGCCTTGAACATGGAAGTGGAATTTATGCTTCCTTAGTTGAATGCATACTGCAGTTCCTTTTTACGTCCTTAACATCCAGGCTGTTGTTCATCTCATTTGTTTTGCTAACAAAAGGGTCTGCAGTCACTCAGAGATTCACCAGTCTGGCAGCTAATAGATTTGAACAAAAAGAGGCTTTATTAAGTAATAGCCAGGACCATGGATACTGGCCAGGTCTATATCTGAGACTCATGCTTAGAATGTGGCTCCAGATTACATTAGTCAGGGGTTTATAAAGGCAAAGCTCACAAGGGTACTTACTTCCTGCCTTCCTGTAGTCAGAGGTAAGACACATTCTTGTGTATTTCCTGCCTCTGTGTGATGAAGCACACATCTGTGCATTTGGGGCAACCATACTTGTTTACAGAAGTGAAAACAAGTGGCTTGATATCTTACATGAACAACAGCCCCCAGCATTTTAGAAAGTTATCTGTTCTTGGGCAAGTGGGGCTTACAGGTTAGACGCATTTTTGTTTTATAGATCTCTTAAACACAGTAATATAAACTTAAAATGTAACACTAGGCATCATGTTTAATGCACTTGAACTATTTTTTAAGTATAGTTCTTCACCTTTCAGGGAAAAAAAATGTCTTGAAAAAAAAAATCATAATTTTAGCTGGGTGGTGGTGGCGCACGCCTTTAATCCCAGCACTCGGGAGGCAGAGCCAGGCGGATCTCTGTGAGTTCGAGGCTAGCCTGGGCTACCAAGTGAGTCCCAGGAAAGGCGCAAAGCTACACAGAGAAACCCTGTCTTGAAAAACCAAAAAAAAAAAAAAAAATGTCTTGAAAGCTGTGCATGGTATTGCACACCTTTAATCCCAGAGCTAAGGGAGGCAGAGGCAGGTGGATCTCTGAGTTCAAGAGCAGCTTGGTCAACATAGGGAGTTCCAGGAGAGCCAGGGCTACATAGAGAGACCATGTGTCAAATGCCCCTGCCTCACCTTCCCCCTCCCCCAATGTATTTCACTATAGGAGCAGTAGATTTGATTTTAGTTCATTGGGAGTTGAAATATACTTTGCTTTTTAGCTGTTGACTAAAATACTCAGTGTTGGGGTAGGCTGTCTGAGTCTTACAAGACTCCTCTGTAGTCTTCCTGTATTTTCTGTTGTCCTCTTAGAAAGCTGGTGATACTGTCTTTTCTTACTTATTTGTTCATGTGCATCATCTGCGGGTAGCAGCCCGCAGAGTCCAGAAGAGGGTATTGGACCTCATGGCACTGGCGTGGCAAGTGGTTGTGAGCCACCATGTGGGCACTGAATTGAACCTGAGTCATCTACAAGACAGCCTGTTCTCGTAACTGCTGAGCCATTGATCCAGCCCTAACACTTAATTTTCTTAAGTAGAAAATAAAGGGTTCCCATTGCTTTGTTTCTGATATTCTAACTCTTTTGTCTTCTGTAATTTTTTTTTTTTATCACTTTGTAACCCAGGCAGCCTTGAACTCTTACTTTGTCTGTTCTAGCCTCTTAAGTGCTGGAAGTGCAGGTGTGCTCTGCTATACACAGCTTCCTTTTTTCTTTCTTTCTTTCTTGTTTATTTTTTAAATATGAAGTTTTTATTTATTTAAGATTTATTTATTTATTATGTATACAGTATTCTGCCTACATGTGTCCCTGCAGGCCAGAAGAGGGCACCAGATCTCATGACAGATGGTTGTGAGCCACCATGTGGTTGCTGGGGATTGAACTCAGGACCTTTGGAAGAGCAGTCGGTGCTCTTAACCACTGAGCCATCTCTCCAGCCTTTTTTTTTTTTTTTCTTTCAAGACAGGGTTTCCCTGTGTGGCCCTGGCTGTCCTGGATCACTCTCTGTAGCCCAGGCTGGCTTCAGACTCATAGATCTGCCTGCCTCTGCCTCCTGAGTGATGGGATTAAAGGTGTGCGCCACCACCGCCCTGCTTCCTTTTTTCTTATATGATTGAAAATATTAAAACACTTTTCCATATCAGGCGTTACACAGAGAAACCCTGTTTCAAAAAAACCAAACCCAAACCCAAACCCTACTTTTCCAGTATTGATTTCTTGGGTCTCCCTAACTGTACTCAGACGTATATAAGAGACCCTGCTTCTCACAGAGTGTCAAACTCATTTATTTCTTCATGAACACTTGGATACAAGGAGATCAGGCTAGGTCTAAAGTGTTAGATTGAAGACCAAGTCTCATGCACTGCATTTTTTTTTTTTTTTAGGTTTTTCGAGACAGGGTTTCTCTGTGTAGCTTTGCGCCTTTCCTGGAAATCACTTTGTAGTCCAGGCTGGTCTCGAACTCACAGAGATCCGCCTGGCTCTGCCTCCCGAGTGCTGGGATTAAAGGCGTGCGCCACTACCGCCCGGCAAGGCACTGCATTTTGAGTAGAGGTATGGATGAAAAGGAAGGTCTAGCATTACAAAACAAACTGAACAACCTGACGAGAATACCTGCCCGCTGGGTGGGGCAGACACAAGCGTGCGTGATGGAGAAAGAGCAGGGAAGCGGAGCGGTGCACTGACAGCCACAGCAGTGGGCGTCGGCATCGGCCAGTTTGTGGTGGGATGGCCGTCCGTTCGGGAGGGCTGGAGAGAGACTAAAGAAGAAACTGGTGAGTCTTGGAGACTTTCTGAGACAGGGTTTCTCTGTGTAGCCCTGGCTGTCTTGGAACTCACTGTGTAGACCAGGCAGACTTTGAACTCACAGAGATCTGCCTGCCTCTGCCTCCCAAGTGCTGGGATTAAAGGCGTGCGCCACCACCCCTTGGCCATAGACTTTTACAAAAGGAATCTGGTAACTAGCTGGTGCATGGAAAGTAGAAGATGAGACAGATAAGTGGATGGTATTTATATATCATGGAATGAAGTCAAAGGAAGAGAAAGATGCACAATGTCTGAGAGAAGAAGGAATGGGTCCAGTGTAAAAGTGCAGTGGTTGATGGGTGTACTATAACCACACTAGAGTGCTGAGACATGGGAGAAGCAGTTGTTGGCCACAGATTTTTTTTTTCCCTCTTTTTACTCCATGTGGTTGCTGGGAATTGAACTCAGGACCTTTGGAAGAGCAAGCAGTGCTCTTAACCTCTGAGCCATCTCTCCAGCCCTGGCCACAGGTTTTAAATTATAACAACACTGAATAAAAATGAGGATAGTATCGATCCGTGGTATGGTTGAGGAAAAGGTTTCATTGTAGATATGAGGAAGAGAACAGCCAGAGGCATCTGGAAGAGTCCAGACTGAACATGGCCAGCAGAATAGACCAGGGCCCTGAGAAGAGAAGAGAGGAAGAAAGAGGGGCATCTAGCCAAAATGGATGAGTTCATAGGAATTAGAAGGGAAGCCTGGCCTCTGGGTTGGAGAGGTTTAGGGTAGGGGGTGGGGTGAGAATTGCTGGGAGGAGCCACAGGTACTGAGTGAGTCTTGTCCTGGTTTCTTTGGTCTTTGATGGGTCAATGCATATCTGATAAATATCCAAACTTTAAAACAGTGCCTAAAGTCCCCTTTTCTAGAGAGAAGTACTTTTAATACTGTTTTTGAGAATCTTTCCAGGTGTTTTCTGTGCATGTACAAATGTGTGAATAATTCCTTTTTCTCCCAAAAGAAAATTGTTTGTTGCCGGGCAGTGGTGGCGTATGCCTTTAATCCCAGCACTCAGGAGGCAGAGGCAGGCGGATCTCTGTGAGTTCGAGGCCAGCCTGGTCTACAGAGCGAGATCCAGGAAAGGCACAAAGCTACACAGAGGAAACCCTGTCTTGAAAAACTAAAAAAAAAAAAAAAAAAAAAAAAAATTTGTCTTACTTCTCATCAGTTTAAAGGATGATTCTTTTTCTTTCATTTTAATATAGAATTTTAAAAGTGATGTTTTTGGGGATTGGAGAGGTGGCTCAGCGGTTAAGAGCACTTGACTGCTCTTTCAGAGGTCCTGAGTTCAATTCCCAACAACCACAGTATGGCTCACAACCATCTGTAAATGGGATCTGATTCCCTCTTCTGGTGTGTGTGAAGACATTATATATAAAATACATGAATAAACAAGTCTTTAAGATGACTTGGTGGTGGTACATGACACACCTTTAATCCCAGCACTTAGGAGCCAGAGACAGGCAGATCACTGAGTTATGAGGCCAGTCTGGTCTACAGAGTGAGTTCCAGGGCTACACATAGAGACCCTGTCTTCAAACAAACAAACAAACAACAAGAACCCCAAAAAGCATTAAACAAAAGTTTTTATTTTATGTGTATATCCTCATTTATTTAGATAAATTCATATTAATAGTCTGACCTTTCTGTTCTTTTGCTATTACAAATAATAGTCAACTAAAGTATCTTGGCATGCATATGTATTTGTTTATGTCTATCCATGTTTGTTCTCTTTATACAACTATCAGTAACGTAACATTTTGGAAGTAAATCGCTGGGTCAGGGAGACTGTAAAATTGCATTTCTTCTTATTCCAATTTATTCCAGTTTTTTAATTCTGACCTACTTTAGCTGTCTAGGGTAGTGTCTTAGTTAGAATTTCAATTGCTGTGAAAAGATACCATGACCACGGCAACTCTTACAAAGGAAAACTTGTAATTGAATTGATGGCTTACAGTTCAGAGGTTCAGTCCATTATCATCATGGTGTTGTGCGGGCAGACACAGTGCTGGAAAAGTAGCTGAGAGTCCTATATCTTGCAGGCAACAGGAAATGGATTGAGACACTGGGTGTTATCTTGAGCATATAAGAGATCTCAAAGCCCACTTCCACAGTGACACACTTCCTCATAAGATCACACCTACGCCAGCAAAGCCACCCCTCCTAATAGTGCCACTCCCTTTTCGGGCCATTTTCTTTCAAACCGCCACGGGTAACTTTAACTAGGGCTGTGAAGTGAGCCCGGAAGCCTGGGAAGAGGATCCGAGTTTAGATAGGACTCCTAGATTGAATTTTCGATGTTTGTTCTTGGTTTTTGTGACTGTGCTCGCTGATGTTTGCTAAGAAAAATGAATTATGACAAAGTAGAGGCTAGGAGCTGCTTCCAGCCCTGGTGAACCCCGCCTCCTACTCTTTCTTTAAGTAGAATCTTCTGCCTTTCAAAATGCATGTGTCCCCTTCTCAGGAAGAGCCAGTGTGAGGGTGCTTACTAGGAATTCCAGCTCTTCTACAAAGCAAATTCACGGCCAATCCAGGCTACTTGAGACTTTATCTCAAAACAAACACCCCCAAAACAGCAGGTTAGCGGGAGTACAAACCCTCCCAATAATCCTTGCCAGCTCTCTAAGGGAGCAGAGAGATTGTTTTTAAAGATTCACTTATTTTTTATATACACTGGGGTTTTGCCTGCACGTATGTCTGTGCACGGATACCAGATCCCCAGGAGTGAACTGCCATGGGGCTGCTGGGAATTGACCTCGGGTCCTTTGGAAGAGCAGCCAGTGCTCCTAACCACTGAGCCGTCTCTCCACCCCTAGCAGACAGATTCTTTATCTGCGGACCAGGTCGCCTGTGAGGGGCTTTCATTTCTAATGTGATACGATTTGCAAACATCGCATTTCATTTCATGGAAAAATTATTCACATGTTCTTTTGTCTTTTCTGTATGTAGTCTCAGAAGCATAAATATAAGGTCCTTTTCCGGGAACCAGACACGTGGTGGAAGTTCAAACCAAAGGAACTTGCAAGGTAAAACTTGAAGGTTTTCTGACATAGCTTTTTATTCCACAGCAGTGATTAAAAGTTTATCTAGATTTTTTTTCCTTTATAAATGATTGAGTAAAACAAAACTGATTAGGTTTTGACTTGTCTATTTGAAAATTGGTATCATTTTATGTTGTGTATGTTTTATCTCATTTCAAAATCATTATTTTAAAAATGTTTATTTGTGTGTGCGGGTGTGTATGTATGAATGAGTACAGGCACTCATATGTCATGTCACGTGTGAGAAGGTCGGAGGAGAACTTTGGGGTCAGTTCTCTTCTGTCCCAGGGGTAAACTCATACCCTCAGGCCTTCAAGCAAGCCTGTGCCCACTGAGCCAGCTTATGGGTCCTTACCCCTACTTTGATGATAAGTCGGGAGATTCACAATACATGGCTGAGAAATCTCCAGTTGTCTTGTGTGGTCGGCTGTGTATTTCCTTGTATAACATGCTAGTATCCAAAGCTAGGACAGCACCTGGGAGTTGGCACCCGTCAGCCATGTGCTGGAGCTTCTAGAACACTGGAAAGTGGGAGGGAAAGGCTGCAGTTATTTCTCTCCTGCCCCTGCCCTTTGGTTGCTTTTCTTGAATTTTATTTAAGAGATGAACATTCAGGCCGGTTGGTGGTGGTGCACGCCTTTAATCCCAGCACTCGGGAGGCAGAGGCAGGCAGGTGGATCTCTGTGAGTTCGAGGCCAGCCTGGTCTATAGAGTGAGTTCCAGGACAGTCAGAGCTGTTACACAGAGAAACCCTGTCTTGAAAAACCAAACCAAACCAACCAACCAACCAAACAAACAAACAAACAAAAAGATGAGCATTCATTGTTTTTTCCTTTATGATGTGTATTCTTTTAGAAGATTTAACTCAATTTCAGAATAGTTTCTTTGTAATAATTTCAATACTAACTAGAACAGTCTGACTTTAATATATTCACAGTGTTGTATGACCATCACCACTGTCTAATTTGGAAACATTTTTTTTTTTTCCACAAAGAAATGTACCCCAGCAGTTCCTTCTCCTTTGGCAACCCCTACTGCTTTCTCTCTGGGGGTTTTCCTCTTCTGGATCCTGTTACACATCTTACACTTACAGTGTTTGCACAGTTTATCATGTTGCAGCATGTCATACTCAATTTCTTTTTGTTGTCTTTTGATATGTAGTGGACCTGCTTTCCTGTGTTGTGTTTGGAATTTTTCCATCTGTGTAGATGAGTGGGGTTAACAATCAACTTTCCCCTCCCTGACCTGCCTTGCCTGGTTTTGGTACCATAAACTGAGTATTTCCTTTTTCAGTTGGAATTTCCTCTATCCTACCAGTCCTCGTGGCCCGGAACTGCGTGACTCTGCCCACCCCCCACCCCCTGCTGAGCTCTGGGGTTTGAGGTCTGTGTCCCCACAACCAGCCCCGTTGTCACTTCTTAAGTGCTCCACACTTGCTTCATGAGCATGTGCACTGGGGGCTTGTGAAAGGGCTCAGTGGGCAAAGGCACCTGCTCCCAAGCTTGAGGACTTGAATTTGATCCCCAGGGTTCGCACGGTGGAGGGAGAGAACCAGCTCCAGCAAGCTGTCCTCTGACCCCCACATGGGTGCAGTGGCGTGTGTGCACTCACACACATACAACACACATGCATGTGAAACCCCACAGTGTACTGGTCCTGCTCTGGTACTGTGGACTCAGCCTTCATTCCTGCTGTCATATAGATTGCTGTAGTGCTTGCTTTTCTCTTGGTTGCTCTGGTTGGGTAATTTTTGGCAATGGGTGGTGAACTCTTCTGATGTGAGATAGTGTGCTGAACTTCCTCTGTTATATTGTCCATCAGTTTCTCTCTGTCAACCCACCTGTGTTTGCTTTAGATATTTGGAGGGTAGTTGCTGAAATTCCTAAGAGCTTATCATTTTTGATGTTACTCTAACTAACTGGCTTTTATCCCTTCCCAGGGATTTTTTTCTTTTGTCTTTAAGATTTTCACACTTTTGCTGTGAAGTCTGGTTTCTACTTAATAAAGCTATACCAGCATCCTTTCAGTTAATATTTGAGAATTTTTTCTTTTTATACTTTTACTTTCAACATTTTGATATCCTTAATGTTTATGTATTTATTGTACCTAGCATGGCTGGGCTGTAAACTTTTTTCTCTGTCTACCTTGGCTTTTTCTTGTGTGTGTGTGTTGGGGGGGGGGTAGTGGTGGTGCACAGTGGTTTGGAGGGGGTCTTCTGTAGCCCAGGCTAGCCTTGAACTCCTGATCCTCCTGCCTCAACCTCTCAAGTGTTAGATTTCAGGCAAATACCGTAGTACTCAGTCCCATCTTGGCTCCAGATGATGAAACAGCTCTTTATGGATGTTTTGTTATTGGCCACCTTCTGTCTCAATGTGCTTTAGTTTGTTTTTTGAGACAAGGTCTCACTGTGGAGCCTTGGCTGACCTGGAACTCACTATGTAGACCAGGCTGGCCTTGAACTTAGAGATCCACCAGCTTCTGCCTGCCAAGTGATGGGATTAAAGCCTGTGCCACCATGCCCGGCTTCTATGATTGTTGTTATTTTTTAAAAAAGTTATCCATGTGGAGTTTTTCTCTCATCATGTTTTAGAAATTTGGATGAAATTTAAGTCTGTTTCCTTCTATAGTAATTTCTAAATTATATATGCTTTGTTGATATTCTTTTAGTGGCCACCTTACATGTTTCACTCTGCAAAGCTCAAGTCTAAGTTAAACCACTTTTCTTAGCCTTCCTCCTCACAAACACAAGGACTTATTTGAAAACACTTCCTGTGGTAGTGCCCATTAGCTTCCATGGTACCATCCTGCGGTTTATCCACGAGGGGTGGGTTTGCTCAAGTCTTTCCTTGTGCTTCGGTTCCCATTGCAGCATAGTTCTTTCTTTAATCGGAGTCTGTCTGCCAGTGTTTACCTTTAAACTTTTCTTTACAGTAAGGGTCTGTGTGTGTACAACTATTGCTTTTTAAATTTTCATTTGAAATCTTTTTATCATCCCCCTTCTTATAAGACATTTGCTATATATATTCTGGGGTATCAGCCAGTGTCTGTTATTGGCAGTAACATTTATGTTTTATTTCTATTACTACTGTTAAATCTTCTCATTCCAATCATTAGTTCCTGTTTTTATGACTAGCTTTTTCTTTAATTTTTAGCTTAATGTCTCTTCACTTTTCTTTGGTGAGTGACAATTTTAGCATATGTTTCTAGTTATGGATTTATCTTGTTTGACTCCTGAAATCGGGACATTTGTGTCATCAGTTCTAGAAAATTCTCAGCATTATCTTTAAATTGCTTTTGTTCATCCCTCTTCTCTTCTTCAGACTTGAATCAGTGGTGTATGAGACCAGTTGTTTGCTCTGGCCTCTATGTCTATGTTTCTTAACCTCTCTCATATTTTCTATCTCTTTGCTTCTCTGTGGTATGAAACCAGACAAGATCGAGGTAGGTAAATATGAAAGCCAGATTTACTCAAGAGGCAAACACTAATATTAGCCTTGAAATTCAGATATAAAGCCTTGAATCTAGACCAAGTTAAGAGAGTCACGACTGAGGTGTTTTCATTAAGAAACCAACTCAAGAGGGACCGAAGATAACACCCCACCTCCTGGCTGTGCAAATCCAGAAAGTACCCTCAGTTGAGACCAACGATTCCCATGTTAGGGTTAACCAACTGCGAATTCATTAACAAAAGCACTCCAGTATTCGAGCAAGACTGGAAACACAAATAATAAATTTCATATTTGGCCATCCAGAGACTTAATATGCTAGGAATTTAAAATATTGTTTGAACTTAAAATGTAATAAAATGTGTTTGTTTTGATTTAGCTGGGACATGGTTTTATTATAACAGGAAGGCACTTTGGGACATTTACTCAGAGTCACTATAGTGAGATTACTATTGCTCAGAGTTAATAATGACAGTCATTGTTTTATGAGACTTTTAAATTTATTTATTTATTTTTTGCAGAGCTTTAGAACAACTTCTTTTTAAGGTTATTGAAGCCTTCTTTCGCCTGAATTAGTAGAGGATACCTGGGACAAATTGTGTAGGATGATTGATAAAATGACAATTCAAGAGAGCCTGACTAGGCTGGGTGTGGTGGTGGAATCCCAACACCCAAAGTCTGAGGCAGGAGGATCCCAAGTTTCAGGTCAGCAGCCCAGGCTTCATAGCAAGACCACACCTTAAAATAAATGAACACAAACCTCCTGAAACAAAATGAGACTAAAAAAATTAGGACTAGATAGTACATATTAGGTAAGAAGTTTTGCTATTCTTATATCATCACACATTAGCAATGTGCCGTTAATGGTGCTAGGGATAGAGCTCTGTGGTCAAGTGTTTATATCGAATGCATAAGACCCTGAGTTCAATCCCCAGTGCCGAATAAAAAGAAATGTACTGTTCTCTTGGAGTTTGTGTGTTCTTTTTTTTCCCCCCCTTGGTTGCCAACATTCTTCCCACCTTTCTGTTCCCTGGAATTTTCAGGCGTAATATTCATGGAGTAAGCAAGGAGAAAATCGCGAGAATGCTGGAGCACTACCAGCGTTTTGTTTCGGTGCCCATAATCCTGAGTTCTTCAGACCCAGAGAAAATGGAGCGGATTGAGCTGTGTGCGTACTCTTGTGAGGACAGAAGCGCTGGGTAGGTGTTATAAATATATATATAAAGTGTGTTCTATAGAAAACATTCACTTTGAAGCTCTGCTTCGTTGTTTGTTTGGTTTTTTTTGGTTTTTCCAGACAGGGTTTCTCTGTGTAGTTTTACGCCTTTCCTAGAACTCACTTTGTAGTCCAGGCTGGCCTCGAACTCACAGAGATCCGCCTGCCTCTGCCACAACCTGCTTTGTTTTTTAATGATAACTTTGAAGACTTTTGAAATCCCTTCTATCCGAACAGTTTCACCTGGAGTCAGCAGGGGATGTTAGCAGGAGAAATAAAAATTCATGTGAAAGATGAAAGTTTTTTCCCTTTGAGCTGAGAGTTTGGATCTGTGGTTATACAACGAATACACCTGTATTTTTATTTTTATTTTATTTAGTATTTTCCTTTTTCTCTTAATTGTTTTTGTATATATCCATATTACTTTCATTTTTTTTTTTTAGGTTTTAGTGAACGTACTCTTACATTTCCCATAGAGAATTCCGTTAATGTTAGGTAAAGCTTAATAGGAGAGTTGGGACTTTGAGAATTCATAAGATAAAGGAAGATGAGCTGAAAAAAGAATAATTTTGGAAATTATTTTGGAATGACAAGGAAAAGTCATGGAAGTTGAGAGTGTCCAGAGTGTCCAAGATGATTCTTAAACATTTAACAGATGACATCTTTTTTTTTTTTTTTTTTTTTTTTTTGGTTTTTCGAGGCAGGGTTTCTCTGTGTAGCTTTGCGCCTTTCCTGGAACTCACTTGGTAGTCCAGGCTGGCCTCGAACTCACAGAGATCCGCCTGGCTCTGCCTCCTGAGTGCTGGGATTAAAGGCGTGCGCCACCACCGCCCGGCCCAACAGATGACATCTTAAATGAGAGCTTCCTTATATCATCTGTTTCTGTAATGCCATCACACCCAGCTTCTTTAGTTTTTCTTAATCACACAAATTATGTTGTATTACCGCTCTAGTTGGTGGAGTGAACCTGGGAGAGAGGAGCCTAAAAATGGGGAGACTAAAGTCTCTGCAATAGCCACCTTTGTCCAGGGCGTCAGAAGGTTGATATTCTGAGGACGTTCTGAGGGCTAAGCCAGGTCATGTGAGCAAAGTTTACTTTAGTTCAAGTTGGATACAGTTGCCAGGGCAAGGTCACATGAGTTTAGGCTGTACACAGTCAGGACAACCTATACTTGGAAACATCTGAATAATAATAGTAATATTATGGGTAATCTGAAGTAAACCCACTCTTATTTATTACACCTGGGAGGGCCTGACGCACATTCCAAGAACAGCCTGTGTTATGGAGAAACATAGGTTACAAGACTCTTGCCTTGTTTACTTGGTAATTTTTCACAAGATCTCAGAAATATGCTCACACAGCTTCATTCATGTTCTGACAGCGTTGGTTTTGTGACCCTGTAAATCAGTGGTTCTCAACCTTCCTAATGCTCAACTCTTTAATACAGTTCCTCATATTGTGGTGACCTCCCCAACCATAAAGTTATTTTCATTGCTACTTCATAACTGTAATTTTGCTATTGTTATGAATTGCAATATAAATGTCTGTGTTTTTCGATGATCTTAGGTGACCCCCGTGAAAAGGTGGTTTGACCCCCCAAAGGGGTCATGACCCACAGGTTGAGAAGCAGTTCTGTCAATGAAGCTTCCTCTAATAAATCCATAAATGACAGATGGACATAGGATAGATCTCTATGCTGCAAACTAATGCTAAGCTGTGGGTGTGAAGAAGCTAGTGTGGTAATGTCCTCTCATGTGAACACATCTAGAACCTTCCCCGTAATAATCAGCACAGCACTTTGACGACACCCCAGGTGACTGTCCAACTCAGGTTTGCTTTGTGTGTGCTGCTTGTAATGCCAGGTGCTGGCCCTGCGATAAAGGATTGTGGTTCTGATATTCTAGGGAAAGGTTAAGATTAGCTCTTCAACTGTTTCTTCCACTAGTCTGGGGATTGAAATCAAGGACTGGGGTCACATTTGTTGGGCAGGTGCCCTGCCTCTGAGCAGTACTACTGACTTATATCCCCATTCCAGCTTTTATAATTTTTGTGTAATTTACTTTTGAATATTTAGAATAAATGCTAAATGCTGTCTGGTTGCATGCTTCTTTAATTTAAATCACAATATTAATGGTACTGTGAAGAGACTTTCTTATCACACTTCAAAAAATGTCTTGTAGCCCAAGAGACAATGGAGCTCTTACCTCTGAAAAGGAAGAAAATGTCTTACCCACATCTGTGAAGCACTCAGAGTTAATGGAGGAGAAGACACTTGAAGCGGCCAAAGAAGCGATATTACCCGAGAGTGCTCCCCCCGTCCCTCAGGCCAGTTCCAGCCGAGGAAGAAAGGAGATGAGTGTTGTCGGTCATGGTGGACACAGCCCCTTCTTGCAGGAAACCCTAAACACCTGTTTTCCTCACTCTGAAAGCAAAGTTCAAGCCACAGACAAGAGTGAGAAAGAGCAAGAGACATGGAAAGGGCGTGTTGAAGCAGATGCTTGGAGCCCTGCAGAGGGAGCATCCCCAAGTAGTTACTGTGCTGAGGACAATCAAGAATCGGGTGAGCTTGCAAGTGCTGGGACCCTTCAGAGTGAGAACCCCCCACCTCCTGAAATACTGGAAGAAAGAACAGTGGGAAAGAAAAAGACCATTGGAAAACAAAAAAGCAAATCATCTTTGGAAAAGTTCCCAAAACATGAGCCATCAAATTTTGTTGGTGATTGGCCAGTTGATAAGACAATTAGTCAGAGGACCAAAAGGAACCGGAAAACTGAGAAAGGTTTATCTGTACAAGGTGACAAAAAATGTAATCGCCCTCAGTCGCACAAAGTATCAGATGCTAGGGTATCTATGAATACAGATCATATCCAGCAGCGAGGATCTCCACATGGAATCGATGATCTTTCAGAAGTGCCCAGTAGCTGTCATGATACTTACAAAGGTACTGAGCAAACCTCATTCAGCATTGTGGGTGACTGGCCCTCATCTGCTTCTTTAGCTCAGAGAGAGCACAGGTCGAGAATACCAAAAGCTGGCTTAAATGAAGCCAACTTAGAATTTGGAACTAATGGCAACATGAGTGAAATACCCCTGTATCCCACGCATGAGGCCTATTGGGGCACAAGCCCTGAAGAACTGAAGTCTCTTGGTTCCACTCTGCGAAGTTCTGAAATGCTGCCTAGTAAAACAGCTCATGAAGCTCAGACTTCCCTGAGTAAAACGGTTCCTAGCCAACACGCACTGCCCCTTCCCTTTTCCAGTAGTGCAGTAGCTCCGCCTGGAGTCATGGGGCCTCAGTCTCTAGCAGTCGGAGTGTCTCGGGTTGTCTCTGGGATAGATACAAGCGCATGTGCCCAGACTGAGCCCCAAGATTTTGCTCTCTTGTGGAAACTAGAAAAGAATAAAATCAGTGTTTCAGATTCTGTCAGAGTGCTAACAGGAAAATTAGATGGATTTAAGCCAAAAGATTTCACTATTAATACAAAATTAAATGTTCAAGAAGCAATTCCATACAGAGTCATGCATGATAAAAGTACATATGTTGAAGAAAGTGAGCTTACCAGTGCTGATGAGTCTGAAAATCTTAACATCCTTTGTAAACTATTTGGATCATTTTCCTTAGAAGCCCTGAAAGATTTATATGAGAGATGTAATAAAGATATTATTTGGGCCACAAGCCTTTTGTTGGATTCCGAGACTAAATTATGTGAGGATACTGAGGTTGAGAATCCCCCCAAATCGTATGATGAGTCACAAGTTGGGCCATTTTCTATGGGGTTGGATTTGAAGGAAATTATTAGCCACAGAGGAACTTCAGAAGATTTGAATTTTGTGTCAGAATTTAACCCTGGTATCAGGAACACTAATGCACAGTCTGCTGGTGAGACAGAAAAAGGGAACTCAAAGCAGGAAGAGATAAGAGCTACAAATCCTGAAAACCCTGAATTACTAAGCAGACTGTTTCCTAACGCTGCTATCAATGTAAAGAGCAATAATGCAATTGTTTCTAACCCTGGGACTGATTTGTCAGGCGCCCACAGCTTTAACGGGTCTTTTCCACTTACTCCAAAATCTAACGTCCTCAAAGATGTCAGTGAAGTGGAGAAAAATCTAGTAGCCACACAGACTGGAGGCAACATTCATTCTTTTTTAAATTTGTCTGATATCATAAACTCTGCAACAAGCACTTCAAATCCTGAATTAAATGAAGAAGTTTATCTTACTGGCTCTTTGGAAGTAAGGAAAAATGAGACTCTTCCTAAGGATTATGTGAAATTTGGAAACATGGAAGAATTTATCAATGAAGATAAACAGGAAATGGAGAAAATTCTAATGCCAGGAACTAGTTTGTCAGCTGGAGTTAGTGAAGAGGATAAAACCGAGGTATTGAATCCCCCACCAGTAATGGCCAAATCTCTGACCATAGACTGTCTGGAGCTGGCATTACCCCCTGAGCTGGCTTTCCAACTTAATGAATTATTTGGCCCAGTTGGTATTGATTCAGGTAAGGAAAAAGTAAATTATCTCTGTGTGTGTGTGTGTGTGTGTGTGTGTGTGTGTGTAAATAGCATATACAAGTTTCTGTTTCAGTTGCAAATTATTTCGTTTGCTGAATGTCAGTAATTTATGTCACATAATTTTACATAGTACCTTATTTTTGTCATGACACCTTTTTAAGGGATGTAAAACAATTAATTTGAAGTGGAGAATATTTACAAAGAATTTTATATCTCAATATATTCATGAATATGTTGAAAGTTTCTCTAGTTTTTACCTGACATTTGCAGACATGAACTATGTGTCTTTTGGTGTTATTTCAGATATATTTAAGGCAGGAAGTAATTTCCTAGAACACACTTATGGAAAGGAATGCACTGTTGTTAAGGCATGGAGATGCAAACAACTGAAATAGATTGTTATGAAGCTTTGCATGTTGCAGCAGCCAAGTATGAAAACCATGACATAGAACATAGAAACATTTCAAGGAATCAGAAATGTGTTCGTGACTAATGACAAAATGTAGTTTTATGCATATGATAGTTGAGTGCGTTCTCTGCAAATACATGATGAGTAATGATGATATTTTCTCTCTTTTTTTCCTTCCCTTCACAAGGGTCTCTAACAGTTGAAGATTGTGTGGTTCATATAGATCTGAATCTGGCTAAAGTGATTCATGAGAAATGGAGAGACTCTGTAATGGTTGGTAGCTTCCTTATATGAAGAGCTAGTTCCTGTGTGTGTTTTGCACATACCCACATGTAGACTTACACACATGCATGAAATTTTAAAAAATAATGAAAGTAAATCTTAAAAAATAGAACTTTGTAAGTTGGGAAAATATGTATAAATGTAGCTATCCTTAATAATTTCACTTACATAGTTTCACTTAATTTTAATAATGCTTTATAACTCACAAGAAGAGCTGATTTCTAGAGAGAACTGATAGAATTTTGTAGCTTTGTTCCCAGCACCCCGTCCTTTGCCAATCTTTGTTCTGCCTTTGTGTGCAGGAGCGACAGAGACAGGCCGAGGTGTCTTGCGGCAAGTGCAGTCAAGGTAAAGGATGCATTCTGACTCTCACTTTGTCCTGATGTTCAAACGGGCAGTGTGCATCTTTTTTTTTCCCTTCGGTTTTTCGAGACGGTTTCTCTGTGTAGCTCTGGCTGTCCTGGAACTCTTTTTAGACCAGACTGGCCTGGAACTCAGAGATCCCCTGCCTCTGTCTCCTGAGTGCTGGGATTAAAGGTGTGCTCCACCATCGCTGGCTTGAGTGTGCATGTCTTAACTCATTTTAAATGTACTTCACAAAATATGTTACCCAGCGATTTCTAAAATTACATAAGTGTGTGTGTGTGCATGCGTGTGTGAGTGCGCGCGGGCGCGCTTGTGTGTGAGTGAGGTGGTGTATATGTTCAGAGGACAGTGTAGGTGTCTCCACCATGTTGATCCTGGGGCTTGAACTCAGGTTGTCAGGTTTGGCAGTGGGTACCTTTACTCATGAGCCATGTCCCCAAGAATTTTGATTTGCAAATGAAAAAAATCCTTTTTTTAAACTTGTCTTTTTGTTTGTTTATTTATTGAGAAAGTCTTATTCTGTAGCCAAGGCTGGTCTCGAATCACAATGCTTTCTTCATAAGCCTTTTGATTGCTGGGATCACACCATGCCTAGCTACAAATAAAGGTTCTCTCAAAAAAAAAAAAAAATCCCGTTGCCTCTTGATGCGGAAGAGAAACTTAGAGGAAAATGAGACTGCACACTGTGTTTGTCATGACTGCTGTGGAGTGTGCGCTGATGCATGCTGTCAAAGTGCTCTTCAGAAGCCTTGACTCTGTATTGAGAACAACTACTTGGGTTCACTTTCTTGATACCATTGTAGGATTATTACTTGGCTGTTCAAATTTTTATTGCTATCAGTATCTTAGAGTAAAAGGTAAACCTGCTTTTATGGTAAATCCTGCCAACTTGAAGGTCCTTGATTCCAGATGACATCGTCTCCAGTGATTTCTGTCAGGACAGGTCTGGTGAGAAGGCCCCCCTCTTGTAAAGGAGCATTGATAATACTTCTTTTATGCACTCCACACTGCAGCCAAGGCAAGGACCTTCAGCTGAAGAGGCTTGGGCTCCACTTTATTTCAGACCTAGCCACACACCTAAGAGTGTGTAGGCAGCCCTCATAAGGATTGATGGGCTTAAAAAATGAAAGACAGGGGTTGGGGATTTAGCTCAGTGGTAGAGCGCTTGCCTAGCAAGCACAAGGTCCTGGGTTCGGTCCTCAGCTGGGGGTGGGGGAGACATACATTTTGGTCCATCTGGGATAGGGAGTGGGTCTGGGAGGAGATGGGAGAGGGAGATGAATATGATCAAAAATAATGTATGAAATTTTCAAAGAATGAATAAAAATATTTAAACAGAGATAAAGCTGGCTGAGGATAGAAGTGACTGGATCATGTTGTAGTTCTATAAATGCAAATGACTGCAGTGGCTGCCATTTCTTCACTCCCCCGGAGACAGGACTAGATCAGAATGTGCCTGTACCCCTTAGAGGTGTTGACTGCCATCACTTGAACTGTGTGGTTTGCCCCTTATTTTCAATATAGTTTACTCCGTATTTACAGCATGCCTCTGGTCTGTTAGTATTCGTCAGCACGGCGTTGATTAGTTGACACCTTGTTAGGAAGGGAAGTGGGTGGGGTCAAAGTTATAGGGAAGAGAGTGGGAAGCGCTGAGCTGATTGGTAGTTACACTAGGTCATTGCTCATTTGAAATAGTCCTGTGTTATCGTTTCTTCCTTGTAGTTATGTGAAGGGTTATTTTGAAGTTTCAAAGTCGTGTTATATTTACAAGCTGAAAAGCATTTTAAAATCCCATGTTTCTTTTGTCTTGTGACTAATTCTTAATTTGTACATCAATTGCTGAGTACATGACACTACTTTATTACTCCTATAGATCCTTCGATGGCTGGGACTGCTGTTCTTGATAATTCTGAACAAAAATCATCTCAGAAAACAGGCAAAAAATTATTGAAGACTTTACCAGCACCCGAGACACTGGATCCATGGAACACTCAAACAAAAAAAGTTTCACTGAGAGAAATAATGTCAGAAGAAATCGCCTTACAAGAGAAACATGATTTGGTATGGGTTGGCACAGATATTAGTCCGTGGTCTCCGACTGCGGTGTTGTTTAGCATGTGATTTTCATTTAATTCTGTGCATCCTGGTCTTGACTTCATACTTAACTTGTCTCAAGCCAATATTAAAACTGAAAAATGTTTTCAATAGCGTGTGGTTGAGGCTTTGCTTCTAGCTGCTTGGTACTCTGACATACATAGGTCATCTGTGTTAAGTATGTGTTTGTAAGCTGTATTGTTGTTGTTTTTGTTTTTTCGAGACAGGGTTTCTCTGTGTGTAGCCCTGGTGAGCCTGAAACTCACTCTGTAGACCGGGCCTGCCTCTGCCTCCCAAGTGCTGGGATTAAAGGCATGCGCCACCACCTCCTGGCTTGCATTTTTTTTTTCTATCAGTAATTTTCCCTTTCCTTTTTTTTTTTTTTTTTTTAAAAAAACAAATTGAGTAATAGAAGACAAGAGCTGGTTGGTGGTGCACACCTTTACTCCCTGAGCTCAGGAGGCAGAGGCAGGCAGATCTCCGAGTTTGAGGCCAACCTGGGCTACAGAGTGAGTTCCAGAACAGCCAGGGCTACACAAAGAAACCCTGTATCAAAAAACAAACAAACAAAAAAAAAAAAAAAAGAAAGAAAGAAAGTAGACAACTTGGTCCAGAGAATACTCTTTTTAAAAGCATCCATACTTTAAATGAAGCCTCAGTAAGAGAGTCTCTTGATGTTTCATTTTCATTGGTCCCAAAGGAGAGAAAAAAGCAGACTTCACATATACTAACCACTAAAGCGCAAACATGCATTGTAGGATGATAAGGTCTTGAGTTGATAGTCTGTCCGTGTTAGAATTCATAGTTTAGAAACGTGATGGCCTGTTGGGTCACTAGGAACTCAGTAGCACTGAGGATTGTTTTGGGGGTAGTGGTGTAAAGTCAGGCTATAGAGCATATGTGAAATATTTTATTCTTTGTTTTTTATTTTATTGTTATTCGAGATAAGGTTTCTCCATGTCGTTTTGGTGCCTGTCCGGGAACTTACTTTGTAGCCCAGGCTGGCCTCAGACTCACAGAGATCTGCCTGCCTCTGCTTCCCAAGTGCCGGGATTAAAGGCATGTGCCACTATTGCCTGGCTACTTTAAGAATCTTTATCCTAATCTTAGTTTAGAATTTGAAAGAATTCTAAGGACTAGGGAGATGGCTCAGGGAGTCAGAATACTTGCTGCCAAGCATGAGTACTTGAGTTCAAATCTCCCAACACCATCATAAAATGTTTTTTAAAAATTGGGTGGGCTACGACCTGAGCTTTTGGAGGTGGAGACAGGAAGATCACTGTGGAGAGCCTGTCTAAAAGTGGTAGAGATTCCACAGGGGGCATGCAGTGCATGCTACTAAGTGTCACGAAGATGGGGGTGGGTGGACAGAAAAAGGTTGTATTTTAGGAAAGTTCATTTAGTCTGACAGTTTGACTTTATTTACTTATTTAGTTAAATTTTAACTTTTTGTACTAGGATCTCAATTTATACCCCAGACTGCCCATATGCAACTCTGCCTGGCAGGAGTAGTAGTTCTGGATAGGTAGCTTTATGGATTGTGAAAAATATTAATACTCACATTGTTATTTTTGAGTAAATGTATTTGTGAAAAAAATTTAAGTAATTAGGAGTTCTAAGATTTCCGGTCCCCCTGAATTTGTGACATTTATACATTGTAGTTTCTGCCCATTGAGGAGAACATGTTTTTGAGGACGTTCACAGCATCACACACTGTCCCTTGATGAGTACTCAGGGGAGACGTTTCTCTCGGATTTCAGTCCCAGAGAAGCTAGACTGCTCCTGAGTGACTTGTTTGTTTTACATTTATGGACACTGAGGCACTTCCTCCCCCTTTGCTTTGGCCACTAAGGGCTCAGAACTTAATTGTAGCAACTGTACAGGATTCTGTGGCATGGACTTACATACTAATTTTACTTGCTGGTTTTATCCTGTATTCTTGCCTTTATTTTCTCTAATCTTTGACTTCATTTATTTATATCCCGTTTTTTAATAGACAGTTACATTGATTAAAGATGAACGATATCCCAAATAAAGCATCATTAGCTGATTTGTTGTGTGAATATCATAGTGTATTTACACCAGCCTAGTAGGGCTTACTGCACACCTAGGTAGGCTATATGGTACAGCATATACCAGTATATGTGTGGCTCCTCATTTTCTGAAACAGTGTTATGTGGTTCATGACTTTCTATGTCGCTTCATCCTTGTTAAACCATGTAATAGACTGTGTTGGGTTTGTATATGTGTATGTATATATGTGATTATATGTATTTATGAATTCCCTCAAATACTTGACAAAAATGGGATATAAATAAATAGTGTAAGAATACTTATATTACTAACCTCAGTCTTTGATCAGTGAGGAAAGTCTGTGATTGCTTATAAATCATTGGTCTTTTTGCAACAAAATAATTAGGCTTTTGTTCAGTATTGTCTGGCTTATAAATTTCTTCTTAAGGGTGATTTTTTTTTTCTGTTTCCTTTTAGAAAAGGGAGACACTTATGTTTGAAAAAGACTGTGCCACCAAACTAAAGGAGAAGCAGCTCTTTAAAATATTTCCAGCCATTAACCAAAATTTCCTGGTGGACATCTTCAAAGATCACAAGTGAGTGCTAGAAGGACTGGCTGGGATTTCCACTCCGATGTCACTGGTGGTGGTATATCCCAAACAATCTCTAGTGTTCATCTTTCTGATTAAATGTAATATAAATAATTAAATTTAGATTAAATATATATAATACAGAAAGTGAAATTTTCTAGCTTTGTATTATTCCATGTTACTTTTTTCTTTAATTTTTTTGTTACCTTTTTCCCATGAGAAACTAACAGGGCAGCTACCGTGGGGTGGAGGGGTAGACAGTGCTGTGCTTCCCTTTTTAAACCAGAACCTCATGGTGTTGAGTAGAGTTTGTTATAGTACAAATATCGACATGGAGGTGTTTATCTGCATTGGATTTTGGAAGGAAATTGAAACTATGTATAGATCCCAAAAAGACTTATGGGATATAGATGATGCAATTAAAAGAAACAGTGTAGCTAATATTCCTCAAATAAGGCCAGGAACTCAGCATGGAGGCTACAGGCATGCTGCAAGTTCTTGACCAGCAAGGCCTACATAGCCTGACTCCAAAATAAATAGTTAAAAGTATTAGAAATTGAGTTATCAGCATTACCTCCTACTACTACTTTGGTACTTACACGGATTGAACCCAGGACCCCACACTTTCTTGTTTTATTAAAATAAACTAATGGTCTCGTGTCCCAGGCTGTCCTTACACTTGCTGTGTAGCTAAGAATGACCTTGAACTTCTGACCTTTTTGCCTCAAGGGCTAGGATTACAGGTATCTGCCATCATGGCCAGTTCTATACAGTTCTGGGGATCAAACCCAGGCTTCCTGCATGTTAGACAAGCCCTCTACCAGCTGGGCCCCAGCCCCAGCCCAGTGAATTTTGACTGGTATGTAACACACAATTATGCATATTAATGAGTCATACAGTTTTGATGAGTGTGTACATTGTATAGTGTTCAATTAGGTTAAACGTGTTTTCCAGACACCTGAATTTTTCACTTGTTCGTTCGTTCACTTATTTATTATGTGTGCAGTCAGTAAGGTGTAAGTGTGCAGGTCAGAAGACAACATGTGAGACCTGGCTTTCCCTTTTCAACAAGTGGATCCTGGGGATCAAACTCAGGGCATCAGGTATGGCAGCAAGAACCTTTACCTGTTGAGCTGTTATACCTGCCCATGATGATGATGATGATGATGATGATGATGATTAAAAACCTTCAGAGTCTTAGACTAGAGAGGTGGCTGAGTGGGTCAGAGTGGAGGCCGAACTTCAGAGGACCAGAGTTAGATCCCTATCACCCACATGGAGGCCGCACTTCAGAGGACCAGAGTTAGATCCCTAACACCCACATGGAGGCCGCACTTCAGAGGACCAGAGTTAGATCCCTAACACCCACATGGAGGCCGCACTTCAGAGGACCAGAGTTAGATCCCTAACACCCGCATGGAGGCCGCACTTCAGAGGACCAGAGTTAGATCCCTAACACCCGCATGGAGGCCGCACTTCAGAGGACCAGAGTTAGATCACTAACACCCGCATGGGGGCTTACAGTTGTCGGCAGCTCCAGTTCCAGGAAGCCTGATGCCTCTTCTGGCATCCTCAGGTACCAGGCATGCGTGTGGTACACACACAGGCAGGTGAAACATCCATACATGGAAGACAGATCCTTAGTATTATTTAAAAAAAAAAGTTGTTTTGTTTTGTTTTGTTTTTTTGACTGCATTAAGGAGACAGAGACAGGCAGATGTCTGTGAGTTCAGGTCAGCCTGGTCTTTGTAGCAAGTTCCAAAGCAGCCAGGACTATATTGTGAGACCTATCTTAACAAAAAAAAAAAAAAAATTGAGACCCAATTACTCATTATTTTTCCTGAGATTTCCCAGAGGTCATTCTTGAATCTATCTTATACTTAAAATTTTTTTCAGTATTATTTTTTATTTTATGTATATGAGTGTTTGCCTACATGTATGTATGTATGTGCACCCCATGTGTGTCTGAGGCTCTCAGTAGGCAGAAGAGGGCATTAGATCCCTTGGAACCAAGAGTCACAGACTGTTGGGAAAACCTGGGTTCCCTGCAGAAACAGCCAGGGTCTCAACCACTGAGCCATCTCCACACTTAGAAATTGCTTGAATTTGTGCCACAGAACTTTCATTTTCTTAACGTTATGTTTAAACAGCTATTCACTGGAACACACAGTGCAGTTTCTAAACTGTGTTCTTGAAGGAGACCCCGTGAAAACAGTGGTAGCTCAGGAGTGTGTTCACCAAAATGAGAACATCACTTCTCATCCTGCACAGAAATCAAAAGAGAAAAAGGTACGGAGTGATTTGATCTTTTATTCTGTTGGCAAATAAATGTGTATAAAATATAGTTTGCTTATTGAGTATAATAGTTAAGTGATTGCTTTTCACCCTTTTGACTATGTTGAAAGTTTAATGACCAATAACATACTTGGTTTAGAATATCTGTGTACTCCAAAGAATGAATTTATACTTAATATGTTTTTGTTGAATATATTGATTCCATGATAAGCATTTAAATTCCTGTAGGTTATGTGTAGACTTTCCTAGGTAGACACAGTAAGTGTGAGGCCTACTTGAGTAGCTGTGGTTTTTATTGTACCCTAGATCTCAGAATCTAAATATGTGGGCAGAAACATTTAACCTTGAGTGCCAAACTTTTTCTTAAGTGGTTTCTCTATTTTACCTTGAAATTGTTTTATTTATGTTTGGATTACTCATAATAAATGATAGAAATATAATTGATTTTTACGTATTAATCTTGTATCAGTATTAAAACTTTTTGTTGTTGCTTTTTTATTTTTATTTTATGTATTTGGGTATTCTACCTGCATGTATATGTATGTGTGTGTGTGTGTGTGTATGTGTGTGTGTGTGTGTGTGTGTGTGTGTGTGTGTATATATATATATATATATATATATTTGTTCACCATGTATGTGCAGGGCTTCTAGTTACAAAAGGTGGTGAGCCTCCATGTGGGTGCCAGGAATCAAACCCCAGGGCCTTTGCGAGAGCATCAAGTCCTCTTAACCATTGAACCATCTCTACAGCACATTTTGTTTGTTTTCGAGACAGGGGTTTCTCTGTGTAGCCCTGGCTAGCCTGGACTCTCTATGTAGACCAGGCTGGCCTCAAACTCAGAGATCTGTCTCTGTCCCCCAAGTGCTGGGATTAAAGGCACGTCAGCCACTATGCCTGACTCATAATTAAGTTTTTTGAAGAGCATGGTGATGTCTATTATTTCAAGTCTCTACAGTCTCAGGATCTAAGCAAAGTATTAGTGAGGAAATTATGTAACCAACTGTTAATTTGTGTATTAGGTCAGTTTTTGTAAATCTTTCTTCCCTTATTTTTATCAATTAGAGATATATGTGTATTATATAGTACATATAATATTTTTATAGTATTACTGTAAATTAAATGATAGACTTTTAAGATTTTAAACCTATGTGTCATTAAAGATTAGAGTATATTATAAATGTAATTCTTGGTAATATTTCTAAGCAAAATGGTATTTTCCAGCTTGTTAAATTCTAGTAAGTAACCTCAATCAAGTAATTATATCAATAAAAGCATTTTTTAAAGTATTGAAAATTGCCGGGCGGTGGTGGCGCACGCCTTTAATCCCAGCACTCGGGAGGCAGAGGCGGGCGGATCTTTGTGAGTTCGAGGCCAGCCTGGTCTCCAAAGCGAGTTCCAGGAAAGGCGCAAAGCTACACAGAGAAACCCTGTCTCGAAAAAACCAAAAAAAAAAAAGTATTGAAAATTATGATTCTGTTTGGTTTTGGTTTTGAATACACATAAAATGTTTATTAAATTACGTAGTAGGACATGTGTGACTTACAATACTTTTAAGGTATCAAAGAAATTAATTGAAAACATACCTATTAAGATGAAGTTAAGATGATAAATAGTGGCACACATCTTTTTTTTTTTTTTTTTTTTGGTTTTTCGAGACAGGGTTTCTCTGTGTAGCTTTGCGCCTTTCCTGGAACTCACTTGGTAGTCCAGGCTGGCCTCGAACTCACAGAGATCCGCCTGGCTCTGCCTCCCGAGTGCTGGGATTAAAGGCGTGCGCCACCACCGCCCGGCATGGCACACATCTTTAATCCTAGCACTCAGGAAGCAGAGGCAGGAGGATCTCTGTGAGACAGAGGCCAGCCTGGGCTACAGAGCGAGTTCTAGGATGGTCAGGGATACACAGAGAATTCATGTCTTGAAAAACCAAAACAAGAAAAAAAAAAAAAAGATAAAGCTAAGACATAGATTGCTGTTTGCAAGCAGTTCTCTGCAAACAGTAACTTTGAAGAAGAGAATTAATGAAAGCTAGGTTGACTTAGAGATTACTATATTTCATTTTTTAAACATTAGCTTTTGATATTCTAAAGACATTTGGATATACTGTCTGAGACTATTATCTAAAAAATACAGTTTTCTTACTTAATGGAAAGCATATGGACAGTTTGCATAATTATCATTTATCTTTTGTTTTACATTAGAGAATTCTCTAAGAACATGTTTTAGATAATAATTATATCACATATACCTGTGGGTGCATACACACAAACACACTTTGTTGCTGTGTTTGGTTTCTGAGAGAGAATCTTGCCATGTAGCTTATACTGTTCTCAGTCAGATTGGTTGGCCTCCATGATACTGGGATTGTGAGGGACAGGGTTGATTCTAAAAGGTTACTGAATTTCTCTAACTGACCATGGTGGCTAATGGTAGGTTGAAACTGACCCATAAGTGTATTTATGATTTTTTTTTTTTTTTTTTTTTTTTTTTTTTTTTTTGGTTTTTCGAGACAGGGTTTCTCTGTGTAGCTTTGCGCCTGTCCTGGAACTCACTTGGCAGCCCAGGCTGGCCTCGAACTCACAGAGATCCACCTGGCTCTGCCTCCCGAGTGCTGGGATTAAAGGCGTGCGCCACCACCGCCCGGCTTGTATTTATGATTTTTACTATCAGCCATGATAACTACACGAGGTATTCTGTTGATTTTTAACTATTTGTTTTTCATTGGCTTTTAAAAACCATAAGTTGAAAATGCTCATTGTTACCACGAAACTTTTTGTTTGTTTGTTTAAAGCAAGACATTATATATCTCTGGCTGGCTTTATACTCCCTGTGTAAGCAAGAGTATATGCCTTGAACCTTGAAGAATGACCTGCCTCTGCCCTTGAGTACTGGGATGATAGGTGTGCAACACTATCCAAGGCGTGAAACTTTTGAATAGGCTTAACAACAAACCAAAACTTGGATTTCTGTGCTGAATACATTCATACTGCTCTCTGACTATCATACCTTCTATCTTTTGGCTTGATTTATGATCTGATTATATTTTAATGATTTTGAAGAATATTTCAGTGTCTCCTAAAAGTGGTTAAGGAAGGGGTAGTGTTACTAACTTGAAAAAGTGAATGGTAGTGCGTGCTTGACTTACAATGTAGACACCAAGGAAATCTCTTCTGAGAAGAAAGAGATGCATCTATTTCGTTGGCTTTTTCTTTTCTTTTTCTGGGTGTGTGTGTGTGTGTGTGTGTGTGTGTGTGTGTGTATGTTTTTTTTTTTTTTTTTTTTGAGACAGTGTTTCTCCGTGTAGTCCTGGCTGTCTTGAAACTCTCTGTAGACCAAGTTGGATTGTGTTGGCTTTGAACTCAGAGATTTGACTGTCTTTGCCTCCCAAGATTAAAGGTCTGCATGCAGCACCATTCCTGACTGATTTTTCCTTTTGTTTAGTCTTGTATGTCCAGACTGGCTTCCAGTTACTGTGTAGCCAAGGCTGTCCTGATTGTCCTTTCTGTTTATGATCATACCACCCTCAACACATCTGATTGTCTGATCTTCCTGCTTTTCTTTCTAGCTAAGTACCAGGATTACAGGCACATGCCACCACCCTGGCTCACAGACTGGTTTGTATATGCGTTTTCTGGTGGTAAGACATCCATTTTTCAATCTTTTTCTGTGTATTACATGCTGTGTTCTTCTAGGCAAAGAAATCAAGAGAGAGTGATGATCCCACAGGTGACGCGTCTTTCCAGGATTTTGAGTACCCTGAGTATGATGACTATAGGGCAGAGGCGTTCCTGCACCAGCAGAAGAGGATGGAGTGCTACAGCAAGGCCAAGGAGGCCTACCGCATGGGCAAGAAGAATGTGGCCACCTTCTACGCTCAGCAGGTGAAGTGGGGACTGATCACAGTTTGTTTATCAATTTAAGTAGTCTGAAGTACATGATGCTTACTTTGAGTTTTGGCTTAATGATTGTTTGGGGAGGAATTTAGAGATTATGTAGGTGACATAGAGAGTGGCCCAGTCTGAGAGAGTCCCATGACTGTGAGGACTTCGGCTGCTTTCTCGGCCGTCACTGCTTCTGTGTGTGTGTAGTTCACGAATTACAGTGTCTTGGATGTATTTTCCTTTAGAGTAAATCAAATCACCTAGTGGTCCCCTGAGTAGTCTATTGTTCAGTAGCATGTCTGAGCGGATAGAAGTTTCCTGGAGGAAGCCTGGCTGGCGGTGGTGGCGCACGCCTTTAATCCCAGCACTCGGGAGGCAGAGCCAGGCGGATCTCTGTGAGTTCGAGGCCAGCCTGGGCTACCAAGTGAGTTCCAGGAAAGGCGCAAAGCTACACAGAGAAACCCTGTCTCGAAAAACCAAAAAAAAAAAAAAAAAAAAAAAAAATTTCCTGGAGGAAAGAAAGCAGAAAAGTTTGTCTTAGACTGGAGTCTTACATTGTCTATAATGTTTGGATTTTTAATAAGGTGCTTTATTCATTTACGTGTGTGTGTGTGTGTGTGTGGTGTTTTGTGTGTGTATTTGGCACATGCACAGGAGTGTGGGAGTGCATGTCCTTGTGCACTCAGGCCAGAAGAATATAGCGGGTATCCTCCACTGTCACTTCCCATTTACTTCCGTAAGGCAGGCAGTGAGGAAATACTAAACCTGAAGCTCACCCTTTCAGCTTCCGGGGTCTACCTGTCTCTTCCCCTCATGCTGGGGTTAAGGCACATACAGGTATGCCCCGCTTTTTACATTGACATGAACTCAAGTCGGAAGCTTGCACAGCAGGTGTTCCTAACCACTGAGCCTCCAAGCATCACTTTTATGTTCACAAAGAAGAAAAGTTTATTACTATTTCTCAAGAGAATAAAATTTCTTGCTGGGCTCATTGTGCATGGTAATGTAAGAAGTACCCTTTTCGCTGGGCGGTGGTGGCGCACACCTTTAATCCCAGCACTCGGGAGGCAGAGCCAGGCGGATCTCTTTGAGTTCGAGGCCAGCCTGGACTACCAAGTGAGTTCCAGGAAAGGCGCAAAGCTACACAGAGAAACCCTATCTCGAAAAACCAAAAAAAAAAAAAAAAAAAAAAAAAGAAGTACCCTTTTCATTTTTGTGACCCCACACGCTCACTCTTTGGTTACTAACAGAAGTGTCCAACAGTACAGCTCTAGGAGACCCAACAACAGCCCTTGGGGTGGGTAACTAGAGAAGATGCTTGAAGAGATCGTCAAGCTGAGGCCCAGGATTATCAAAGAATACACTTGTATTAATCAAGCATTAAACCAGTTGGTTCTTGAGCCAAATATTATTGTTTCCTTTTATGATTTTTGTTAAAGAATTTTTTTTTTTTTTTTTTTTTTTTTTTTTGGTTTTTCGAGACAGGGTTTCTCTGTGTAGCTTTGCGCCTTTCCTGGAACTCGCTTTGGAGACCAGGCTGGCCTCGAACTCACAGAGATCCGCCTGGCTCTGCCTCCCAAGTGCTGGGATTAAAGGCGTGCGCCACCACCGCCCGGCGAATTTTTTATTTTTACTTTACAAACTATGATTGAGTAGTTTAAGAACAGTATTATTTAGTTACTGAAATTTCCCAAAGTTTGGTTCATCCTTGTCTTTTAGCTTGTTACATCAAGATGTTAGATGTAGTGTTCTGGCTTTTATTTAGGGCACTTTTGCTTCTTGATTGTCAGTAGCTCTCAACCTGTGGGTCGCAAATGGAGCCTGCATATCAGATCTCCTGCATATCAGATATTTACATTATGACTCCTGACAGTAGCAGAATTACGGTTCTGAGGTAGCAAAGAAATACATTTATGACGGGGTGAGGCGCTATAGTAAAGGGCCGCAGCACAGGGACGGCTGGGGACCACTGGACTAGGTGGCGACTATTGAAAGTGGCCGCTGTGTTGTCTTGTGGTTAAAGGGCAGTCTCCACGAGCAGAAGATGAAAGAGGCCAATCACCTGGCTGCCGTGGAGATCTTCGAGAAAGTCAACGCCTCTCTGCTGCCACAGAACGTCCTCGACCTCCATGGGCTGCATGTGGATGAAGCTATAGAGCATTTGACGACTGTTTTACAGCAGAAAACGGAAGGTAGGAGTGTGCTGATGACCTTGATATTGATGACCTTGCCAAATGCAGACTCTGCCTGCCTGTGCAGACTGAGCCTGTCTGCCTCATTTGTAGACCTTCCTGTGAGTCATTCTTCAAAGGATTTTCATGGGTGTGACATTAAGATTTCCTTACTGGAATTATTTGTATCTCTTTGTTCTGTCTGTTAAAGAATGAGGTACTGTGTCATGTGGGAGTCCTCTGTGACTTACAAAAGCGACTTGCCTAGAATATTGTCTCCAGTAGGTGTTTGCTCAGATACAAAAGTAAGTAAGGTGACAGGAGGTTTGCAGAACTGCTCCCAAGGCAGACTTCCTAGGTGCCTGCAGTGTGTCCTTGCTCTTCCTCCTGCTGGTACCTAGTCACATGGTCAGTAAGAAAGGTCACACCTGCAGTCTCCTAAATTCTGCATCTTCCCAGGACCTTCAGCTGGAGCTTTTTCTAGACTTCATTCAGTGTCATGCATTTCACATGCGTTAAGTGTCTTGTTGGTATAACGTCTTGCTTCATTTTCATCATCAATTGGTAGTGTTCCATAGAAAGGTCAACCTGTTTTCGTAATCTCAGACACTGATGCTGGAGGTCATCTGTTTGTTCTGACTGGAGAAGTTTGGAATTATAAAGATGCCCTGCCTTATCATTCTTATATATACATTTACCAATTCAGTTCATACCACTTGTGATGAAATAGGGCTGATATGTAAGGTTGAAAATTCATCTGCTTATTCTGAAACATTGCAACTATGTTGAAGAGGTTAAAGAATAATATAAAAAATGCCCATGGACCAGTGAATCCAGTAACAAAAGTGCAGACATTTTACTGTTTCTCAGTTTTAAAATGCTTCCCATTACACTTATCTCCAATCTCTCTCTTCCTTTCTTCTCTAATGGAAAGCAACGTCATAAAGTCTATTCTATATCCTTCCTGCCCATTAAAAATATCTTCACTGGTGGCGCACGCCTTTAATCCCAGCACTCGGGAGGCAGAGGCAGGTGGATCTCTGTGAGTTTGAGGCCAGCCTGGGCTACAGAGTGAGTTCCAGGACAGGTGCCAAAGCTACACAGAGAAACCCTGTCTTGAAAACAAACAAACAGTAATAATACTGTCTTCACTGTATATGCACATACTATATATGCACGTTCCTCTCTGTTCAGTATATGAGACTCCTTTTTGTTTCCTCTGCCTTATGTTTTGATGGGGGGGTCTCTTACTGAACCTGGACCTTGTTGACTTGATGGACTGACTGACCAGCAAACCTAGGGTCCCTCCTGTTCATCTTCCCAGTGCTGACGTGACAGTCAGGCACCACTCCTGAGCTTTACATGGATGCTGGGTATTGAGTTCAGGTCTTTGTGTTTGTGTGACAGGACTGTGTTTTATTTTTTAAAGATTTATATATTTTATGTGCATTGGTGTTTGCCTGCATGTATATGATATCTGGAACTGGAGTTGCAGACAGTTGTGAGCTGCCATGCGGGTGCTGGGAATTGAACCCAGGTCCTCTGGAAAAGCAGCCAGTACTGCTAAACCATTTCTCCAGCCCCAAAGCTTTTTTTTTGAGACAGAGTTTCTCTGTCTATCCCTGGCTGTCCTGGACACTCTATATAGACCAGGCTGTCCTCAAACTCACAGAGATCCACTTGTCTCTGCCTCTGAATGGAATGCTAGGATCAAAAGGTATATGCACCACACTTGGCAGTACCGGTACTTTAAAACAGTTATCTCCCCAGCCCCTGAAAAGTTGCTTTTTTGCTGAACCACTTGAAAATAAGTTGTAGATGTTGTGGTGATTTAATTCTAAATACCTCTGCAGGTATAACTCTTGAGGGTAGATTCATTCTCCTCTCTAGCCATTACTCTCTTATTTTGACGACCCTGAACATCAGTAGTGACATTTTGTCTAGCACACAGGCCATACTGTCTTACATAGCTGTGTCTTTCCTCTTTCTCTGTGGGATCTAGTCAGGTAGAGCATGTTTTAGTTGATTATCCTAAATACTTTGCTATAATATGAAATAGTTTGTTTTTTCTTACTTTTTTTTTTTTTTTTTCTCTCGAGACAGGGTTTCTCTGTGTAGCTTTGCGCCTTTCCTGGAACTCGCCATGGAGACCAGGCTGGCCTAGAACTCACAGAGATCAGTCTGACTCTGCCTCCCGAGTGCTGGGATTAAAGGTGTGTGCCACCATGCCCATCAAGTTATAATTTTTTTTTTGTTTTGTTTTTCGAGGCAGGGTTTCTCTGTGTAGCTTTGCACCTTTCCTGGAACTCACTTGGTAGCCCAGGCTGGCCTCGAACTCAAAGAGATCCGCCTGGCTCTGCCTCCCGAGTGCTGGGATTAAAGGCGTGCGCTACCACCGCCTGGCAAGTTATAATTTTTTTTAAAAATTATCTGAAATTGTTTTTACAGATCTTATTACCCCAGTACTTAAAATTTTTTAAATTTATTATATGTGTATGAATATTTTGCTTGCATGAATATCTATGTACTATTTGTTTGCCTGGTCAGAAGGGGACACTGGATCCCCTTGAGTTAGAATTATGGATGATTGTGAGCCTCTGTGTGTGGAGCCGAACTTGGGTCCTCTGTAAGAGCAGTGATTGCTTGTAACTGCTGAGCCATCTCTCCAGTTCAGTACCTCAGTACTTTTAAAAGCTAGACTCTTGGTGTCAGGAGATGATGTTGTGTGATACTGGGAGATAGAAACAAATGCTCAGTCCAGATAAAGAATCCATGACAGAAAAGCTGACACCACTGCAGGATAACTTGGTGAACTAGTGAGTTTATGGATGTGATGATTTGGATGAGAATGACCCCTATACGCTTATGTAGTTGAGTCTCCAGTTGGTGGAACTGTTTGGGAAGGATTAGGAGGTGTGGCCTTGTTGGAGGAGATGTGTCTGTGGGAGGGCTTTGAGGTTTCAGAAGCCCCGACCATTCCTAGTTAGCTCTCTGCCTCATACTGTTGGATAATGATATAAGCTCCAGGCTACTGCTCAGCACTGTGTCTGTGCTACCTGTCAGGATGGTCATGGACTGACTGTAACCTTCTGGAACTGTAAGCTCTCAATAAACATCCTTCCATAAGTTGCCATGGTTACAGTGTTTCTGTGCAGCAGTGGAAAAGTGACTAAGACAATGCATGGGTGAGGAGTTACTTTTTAGAGGAAAGCGGCCTGCACTGTAGGAAGGACTTACCACTTACACAGTGCAGCAGTGTTGACAGCTGCCATGCTGTGCTTTAGATCTCAGAACTTCATCCCACAGCTGAAAATGGATGCCTTGACCACATCATTCTATTTTACTGTCTTTACCACTTTACTGTCTTTCGATGAGTTTCACCTTTCAGATTCCACATGTGACATCATGTAATCTTTTCTTTCAGTCTGGCTAATTCCACTTAGCGGAATGCCTTCTAGGTTCAACCCTGTTTGTCCCTGGGTGTGTGTGCGCGTGCATACGTGCGTGCGTGCAGGCAGGCAGAATGTAGTAGATCTAATTAATGGGGTTTTACTTGTCCATGAAGATGGAGTTCTCATACATGGATGGACTTGCAAGAACGCTATATTTAGAAGAAGGCCACTACAGAAAGTGGCATTTATGTGAAATGTCCTTAGAGACAGAAAGTAGATAGTGATTGCTGGGGCTGGAACTGGTGATATGAAGTAAGTGCTGACAGGCACATGGTTCTTTTTGGGAGGAGGGAGTGCTGAGAGCAAGTGTTGATTGTGTAGCTGTGGCGCCAAAACAGCCAACACTACTAAATAGTAAGGATTTTTTGTTTTGAGACAAGATGTCACTAAGTTGCCCAGGCTGGTGTACTCCAGGTTGACCTTGTACTTGAGAGTATCCTGCCTCAGCCTCCCAAGTAACTGTGAGTAAGACTTTCATCACCAGGCTCAGCTGAACTGTAAATTTTTAAAATGGAGAATATTATGCTATGTGAACTTTATATTAATAAAAATTTATAGAAAAAAAGAATTCAGTAACTTGCCCAGGGTAGCATTTGTTCAGACCCAAGGTGCAAATGGTTTTCTGAAGCCAAAGCCATCGTGTGTATGCTTGTGGTAGCTGTCTTCCGCTTACCACCAGATGGCAGGAGTGCTGAATAGAAGTGTTTGGGGGAGGGGAGGAATCTGGGGGTATCCTTGCACTAGTTTTAGTCCTAACATAAAAGCACTCTCACAGCTGAGGATGACTAGAGATGTCTGGGTCCTGTGTGCCGTGGGAGTGAAGTGCATACGCCCCTGTGAAGTATTTCTGCCCTCAGATAAACGGGAGAGTCAAGAGTTTGGATGCAGTTAGTAATAGGGATTCACAGGGGATAGAGGGACAAGTTCAGTGTTATTACGAAGATACAATCAGCAAAATAAAGACTGAAAATCTAGGATATGTAGCTATTTTTAAGAAGTAGAAATAAAGAAAAATGAAGGAAAACCTTTGGATTTATAGCTGCCCAAAACATACATCAGACTGGCACAGTGGCCACACCTTTAATCCCAGCACTCAGAAGGCAGAGGCAGGTGGATCTCTGAGTTTGAGGATGCCTGGTCTACAGAGTGAGTTCCAGGACAGCCAGGGCTATATAGTAAGACCCTGTCTCAAAAATAAAACAAACAAATATATCAATCTCAGCACTTGGTAGGGTGAGATAGCAGAATCACTATGAGTTTAAGGCCAGTCGGGGGGCTGCAGAGTAAGACCCTATATGAAAAAAACAAAACAAAACAAAACAACAACAAAACAAGTAAATCAGCTGAATGAAATGTTATTTCAACTCCAATTTAAAAAAAAAAATCACTCCATAACCACGTTTCAGGTAATTGGGGAACTGTGATTAATAAGATGAAAATTGAGGGCTTTTTGTTTTTTTATTTTTCATTTTTGAGACAGAGTTTCTCTATGTAGCTCTGGGTGACCTGGAACTCACTAGGTAGATCAGGCTGGCTTTGAACTTACAGAGATCTGCTTGCCTCTACCTCCCAGGTGGTAGAGTTAAAGGTGTGCACTACTGCCTGGCTTGTTAGAATTTTTTAGAGAAGTCCTTTTTGAAAATCATTTGAGCATTTGTAGTTTAAAATTATTAGCAGTCTGGGATGTGTTTAATACTAAATTAAACAGTTGTTTCAAAGGTGATAAATACCAGGAGCTGTGTGTAATTTTAAACTTGTAGAGAAGGGAAATTGGTCTCCTAACTTGAGCCTTATTATTTCCGTTCCTGGTGCAGTCTCCCTACATACTGACTTCAAGCTCACCTTGTAACCCTGGCTGACTCCAAGTCTGCGTCCTTGTCTCTCAGCCTGCTACCAAGCCTGTGCTGCTAGGCCTAGTCCTTAAGTCTCTCAGTGGATAAATTGCTTTGAGGCTCTGTGTGCTTTCAAAACAACGTTTCCCTTTAGGGGAATCTAAATTTTAATTGTTTAAATCTCTAAAACACCATGAAAGTCATTTCATATGCTTTTGAGTAGACTTTGTGTTGAGATGTCGGAAATGACTTTTAACTGTCCCTGTTCCTATTCTAATAGACTTTAAGCAGAACGGCGGTAAGCCCTATCTTTCCGTGATTACGGGGAGAGGAAACCACAGCCAGGGAGGAGTTGCTCGCATCAAGCCAGCTGTCATTAAATACCTCACCAGCCACAGCTTCAGGTGAGTGGAGACTCAGCTACTGCAGTCCTGCCATCCCATTTCAGCCACCTCTCGGTGGGTAAAGGATAACTTTTCTTGGTAGGTTTTGTTGTCTGGTAAATGAGAAATCAAAGGAAACTATGGCTTTTGTCAGTGCTGATCTGCTAAGACTTTCTATCATAAATGTAAAATTATAAAAATGAGATCTCCTTGTATTCCTTTGTAATGAGCTACCCCGCAGAACTAGATACATGAGAGAGTCTTAAGATTTGCTCATTTTGAGCTGGGTAGTGGTGGCGCACACCTTTAATCCCAGCACTCAGGAGGCAGAGCCAGGCGGATCTCTGTGAGCTCGAGGCCAGCCTGGGCTACAGAGCGAGATCCAGGACGGGTTCCAAAACTACACAGAGAAACTCTGTCTTAGGGGAGAAATGGTTCATTTTGAAAGACAGAGTGTATCTGTGGACCTTTGGCTGAAAGAGTTATAATTTGGATGTGTTTCAACTTTAGCAGAAGTCCTAAATAAATTTTATGTCCTCATAAGTTAAGTGCATTAATGATTTGTTGACAGATGCCAATCATCCTTTCCACTGTAGTCAGTAATAGAAACTGATAGGGGAAATTCCGGGAATAAAGCTTTGTTGCTGAATAGATTCTTCGAGAATACCAATCCTTCAGTCTCTCCTCATCCTCCCAGGCTTCCAGTTTCAGTTAGTGTAGCACTTGTGTATATGCCATGCAGTGAGATATTACTTGATTCCTTTGGGAAAATAGCAGCATTACTTTTGTACTGCCTTTGTGAGTGAAAGTTAGAAGCCTCTCGGGACTGGTTTTACAGTTGGGTTGGGTAGCTTACAGCTTTGTCATGGAATGGGCCGTCTTAGCTCCTGATGTGCCTGTTGAAATTGACACAGGACAGCTTCAAGCCTTGCGTGGCCAGATGAATGAGACCTGTCTGCTACGTCAGAGGTTTCTCCATGGTGCTTTCTTGATGTACAGAAACAATGTAATACACCATCTTATCTTTCATATAGCAGACTCTTCTTCATGAAGGTCAAATTCAGGCTTGAGAAGTTTTGAAAAATTGTAAATTATATTGACTGGTGATCTAGGAGGAACTTGCAGCTTTAGGGCTGTATTTGCTTTGACAATAAATCAGGGGGTTTGAAAACGTAGATATTGGTCCTGAACCTTAATAAAGGATGCAATGTTAGTAATAAATATTAAGTATAGGTCATTTGAATTGATTACAAGATATGTTTCTTAAGTAGTTTGAAATGTGTACATTTTCAATAACTCTTTTTCTCATTTCTACAGGTTCTCTGAAATTAAGCCAGGGTGCTTGAAGGTCATGCTAAAGTGAAATTTAGAAGCCCTTGACTTAGAGGCGTGAAGGTTTACAGACTGAAATTGGTTTTTTTCTGCAGTAATTCTGTCAATTCTACTCTCAAATGTGTTTTTTATTAGGAATATAAAACAAGGAAAGTGTTTTTCAGAATTCAAGGAAAGTTTTTTTTACTGGATCAAATGCCAGTCTTTTACTTGTTAAAACATTAAAAGGAATTTTTATTGATTACAAAATGTCTAAAAAACAAGTTACCACCTGCAGTTTAAAAGTCTTAAGTGCTCTAGTTCGTTTTTTAGGAAAAAAACCCAAAACAGCAACAACAAATCCACTGCCTTTGTATTACCTGTTTCCCATTTAGAAAAGTCTTGCAGCTGTCTGCAAGGGGCAGCATGCTTTGAACCCTGGTTCCCGGCCCTGAAGGACTGTCCCGGAGTGGTGAAGGAGGATGGTGATGAGCAGAACACGGGTTCCTTGTGTTTTTGAAGCCTGTCACAGAGTCACTTGGTGTTGCGTGTCGTGCAGATAGATGGGCAACTTTCCTGTGTCTCTGATCTCGATCCCTTCCATCTGTGCTGTTCTGTGCTGTGCGTTTGCTGGGAGGAGAGTTGGCTCGAGACTAACTTAAGGTCTCTTAGCTTCCATAGATAGGAAACCTTTCAGAGAAGGAGACATGGTCACAGGGCTGCTTGTGGAACTGTCTGTGAGTGGCTCCAGACAGTGCTAAATGGCCTGTTTTATACTTGAGACATCATTTCTAAGCTATGTGAGTCAAAAATCCTATTGACTTCAGTGTAAAAACTGTTTTTGGTATAACTGTAAAAGAAACCCTTGTAATTAGAAAGATTTTTTTACCTTTATTTTGAAAAGGAGCCAACTTTGTGAAAGAAAAGTCTCACTGACTTCTCTTGGGCCAGTGTCCTGATCGTATGTAAATTCTGACTTCCTTTATACAGACTTAGTTTGGTGAAGTGTAACTTTTCTATAACCAGACTGTAGGTAAAATACATCTAACTTTGGATATACAGAGTATTTTCAACATATACAGTGTTTACAGACAATTATGTTGCTTTTTCTTTAGCTTACAAAATCACCTTCATCAAGAACGAGGCGGCATTGCCCTGCACTGAAAGGGTACTGACAGACAGAATGAGCCCCCAGAGAGCAGAGAAGCTAATGGGAATGACACTCAGAACCACGCTCATACATCTGAGGAATCATGCTTTTCAAATACGAGCCTACCATTGGATTTTATTGCCATAAAAACAAAATATCTATGTTTATTACCTGCAAATGGTTAGTGATTACTGATACTCAAGTAGTTATATTTTTAGACTTGTGATAATTCGTTTTAAAAATTGCAGTAGTGTCTCACACTGCTTTTGGTAATGCTCAGAAGTGTTATATATATATTAAAAATAAAGCAGTTCCCTTGTACAACTAAGTACAAAACCCACAATCAGTAGTTAATGAAGTAAGCGTATTCCTGTTTCCAAGGTAGTATGATTTAAACAATGAGAAACAATACTAAACCTGGAATTATGGAGTGTGTACAGCTGCACACTCATTTTCTGTGTTGTATGTTTTCTCACCTTTTAAAAAAAAATCACATTTGAGTACTTAGACTTCTTATATTACTGTGATTATTATTAATAAGGGAACAATGAAAAGAAGTCCAATGTGGTGCTCCGTGCTTGGAGGGCAAGGGAAGGCAGCTGCTTTATTGCTGTGCCCGGCCTGATTCTGAGAAGTCTGCTGGCACTTCTGTGTGATGGAGTGACCTAATGGAGACCTTGAACCAAGCTGGCCACAAACTCGCCATCCTTCCGCCTTCCCTCCTTAGTTGAGATTATAGGTGTGCTTAGCCATGCTGGCTTTGTAGTCCTTCGTTATTATCTATACTATGTATACATACACAAAGTTTGAACATTATATATATTTATAGTCCCCAAATGCCTTCCCACCCTACTATCTGGTATTGTTTAAGCAGTTACAATTATGAAAGAACATTCTCTGATCTTTCTTTTGCCAATCTCTAAATCTCATGTCCCAGCCAGAGGTAGAGATACTTTGGGGATTATCAGGTATTTTTCTTTTGCCCACTTCTAAATTTTGTATGTCAGAGTAAAGATGGTTTAGAAATGATCCAGGTTAGAGGAACTCTTTGTAAGCCTAGTATTTTAATGCATTTTAAAAGTATAGCATTTCTTCCAAAATATTAGAAGATCTCAGTAGCAGTTATATACATCTAATAGTCTGTTATTGGTATCAACCCAGTGAAAAAAAGAGAATTGATAGGAACACCACAAAGTGTGCAGCAGGGCCAGGGCCCTCACGACCATTTTCAGCCCATTTCCTGATTCTTCTGACCTTTATTAGCTGTTCATATATTGCTGTTATTTTCGAGTTGAAGTTTTCTTCTGTTGATTAGTATTCCCACACTACTTACTCTCCTGTTGTTTTTCAGTATCATCCACATTAAATGGTGGAAACTGGCTGAAATGATTTGTATTCTAACATAGGAGAAGAAAAGCTTCCCATTCTTTTGGGTGGTTTCCTGACCTTTGTTTTGGTCTTTTTCTCTTTAAATTCAGGTGTTCTGTTTGCTTTAGAAGGACATATGTAATGACAAGGTTAGTTATTTCTGAGCTGGAAATTCAAGAAATTGTTCTGACAATGTTTTAACTGCTCTCAAGAAAACGTATGAAACAGACAAAAATAACGTGTGCTGTTTTTTCCAAGTGCTTTTCTGTAGTGCAATGAGGTGACATTTGATAATGCTCTGTGCTGTGCTTAAATGTTACTTATTTTTAATTACTTGTAAAGAAAACAGATTTAAATGTCTGTGTGGCCAAAACCAAGTGCCATTTAAAAGGAAAAGTAAGTCGATGTAGAATGTATGTTACTGGTGCTCATTTTTAAGGTGTAATTTAAGTTTACAGTATTACTTGATGCCTCTTCACAGAAGGGACTAGAGAAGCAGGGCTAGAACATCTGTGTCCTGACGCCTCATGACCTCAGTTCCTCCATTGTGTCCTCACAGTTGACTTCCGCCGTCAGTGATGAACCTGTTGTTACTGTTGTTGTTGTTGTTGTTTACCCTGAGACGTCTCAGTAACGTGCCACATTGCAGCTAGCAGTTGAAGAATAGACTATAAGCTGCTCGGACAGTATATCAGAAGCAAATGTTTTTATTTGTACTATAAAAACGTGATTTTTTGCTGTCAACTCTGTACTTTTTTATTGAAAATGTTTATAACATTGCTTTTAAAATTTCTTATGAAACCATTTGCAAATTACACACTTAATTTAATAAAATGCTCTAGTCACAGTTCAGTGTGAGGAAATCCTTCATTTGATGTGGTAGGTTTAGTGGCTTAAATCTTAAAGGATATTGTTGCCTGTGTCTTTGTGGTTCTCTGGGAACAGTGTCATCAAGTTTCCACTGCTGCACAACTGTGCCAGCTTGTGTTGCTTTTGTGAGTGGGTTCACCTCTGGCCTTCTCTCTTCACATCCTTGCTGTGTCTGACTGACATCAAAATTAGGACTTACCATTTATCCCTCAAAAAAGCAGAATAATTTGTTAATTATCGAAGATGTTAAAGTATTTATTCAACGAATGTCTATTGAGCACTTGTTACTAAAGATGCAGTGTTAAGACAGCTTCCTCCCACAGGTAGCTTATATTCTTACCAGTTAGTATGTGTATAGTGATTTATATTGCCTAATGCTTTCACATTTATTTACTGTGACTCTCTAAGGGATCTTCTTACATGGATAGTGCTACCCCAATTCAATGGATAGAGACATACAGGACCAGAAAAGTTAACTGGTACAACTCCAACCTAGATTATCTGATCCCTAGTGTGTAAGGCTACAGATGACCTTAAAAAGGGAGAGATGAGCTGGGTGAGGTGGTGCACACCTTTAATCCAGCACTCAGGATGTAGCACAGGTAGGTGGATCTCAATGAGTCTAAGGTTAGCCTGGTCTATAGCTCGTTCCAGAACAGACGGAGCTGTAGTGAGACTCCGTCTCAAATAAGAACAATTAAAACAAACAAACAAAAAACAAAATGGCAGGGGTGGCTGGTTAGCATGTTTGAAAATCTCCCATTTATAAAGTTGCCTTTGTCCTTTATCCAAAGAAAGCCAGTATTTAGGGGGCACCAAGTACTATGGCTAAAACATAATGATTTATTTCTCTCTTGATATTAGGTGACAGAGATAAAGATCTAGGATTGATGTGAATGCTCTTTTTGGAGGATTTAAGGTCCTTTTAGTTTCCTGCTATACCCAGGCCTCTAATGACTGTAGACGAAATTCTAAACAGTCTTATTAAATCAGAAACACAGAGCCAAATACAGAGTTAAAGCCTAAGAGATCAGAGCAATAGCCACGACTACCTTTAGCTTACCACTCACTGGTGTCCTTCCCCTGAGAGAGAGACCTTCTTACTGTGTGACTTTTTTTATTGCCTTTCTCTTCTGCCTTCTCATTTACTCTAAACTTGACTCCCTCGTCACTGCCTATCTATACAGACCTCCAGGTCTCTATGGTTGGTACTGGGATTAAAGACTCAAGGGTCACCACTCTTGGCTGTGTCCTTGACCACACAGAGACTCTGCCTGCCATGTGATCGGCATTGTGGGCGTGGGCTACCACCACCTGACTTCTATTCCTGGCTCGATATGACCTCTGATCTCCAGACAAACTTTATTTGTTAACATACAAATAAAATCACATTTCAGCACAATTAAAATATCACCACAAACGACTTCTTTTTGTTGGAAGAAGGACAGGAAGGTGGCAGTAGGTAGTGGCAGCACTATGAGAAGTACTTCTGGGAGTTGCTGTAGGACATTTCTGTTTACGTCTGATTAGCCAAAATGTAGCTATGGTGTCACATGTACCTACAAGAAAGGCTGCAAAGTTGCCTGCTTCAGATGGCCCTGTATTTAAGTTTTGAGTGTTCTCTTGAAAGAAAGAAAATGGATGTGAGGGGAATGAATAGCAGTCTCTGCCTTACCATTTTTACTATGATATATAAATATGTAGAAATTAGGTCTTAATGTATTCCTTTAGCAGGTGTCTGATAATTTCTAAATACTAAAGAGTAATAAAGAAACCCCACTATGTTACGTGTTTTGATAGTCAATATGGCCGAGGAAATGGATTTCAGGTTCATAATTTAACTGCTAACAGGATCACTTTTGATTTGACAACTTGATGAGGCCTGTAGGTTATTTCTTGTGATAATGCTTCGTTAGTCCATTTGCATATTACCTTATGCCTCCCTTGTTACTACATCCATGTCCAAGAGCTCAGTATTTAGTGCTGTGATTTACAACAAGTCAAACAGGCTAGGAGACAGGACTCTGCCTGTCTCTGAGGACCAGCCTGCAAGAAAAGGGTTGAAACATTTGGAAGTCCACATCTTAGTCTTTGGGTGAGCTCACAGACTTTGTACCTTGTCTCTGCTGAGGTTCTAGAGTTCTCACAGTAACCCCAGCTTCTTTCATTTGTTAGAAATCATGTAGTTTTAATAGCTAACGAAATCCCATTTCTTTGAAATTACTGGTGTCACAGTATAGGCATGTTCACTACCTAAGGGATAGAACAGTGACTGGCCGTGACCCATTGGTGGTCTGTCTTCTGTCAGGGGCAGGGACAGCTGCAGTGCGAGCAAGAAGCTGGTAGAGTGCCAGTGGAAGGTAGCAAGCACTCAATACACGTTCTTCCGCATGGCATCCCAGCAGCATTCTTGTAAACGTGTCCAAGAAACCCGTTTGCTTTTGAATGCATCTTCAGGGGTGTATCTTGCATTTCTATCAGTGATCTAACTAGTGAAGTTCTATCAGAATGACATTCTAAAGTGTCCATATTTAAAAAAAAAAATCTGAGAAATGTAGGATGCCCTCTAAAGAAAACAAAACGTATTCATAGTCTTTAACTGTGGGAACAAGTCCTGCTCGCAGCATGAGGGGACCTTTGGGGACTGTAGCCTTGTGTTCTTTAGGAAAGGACTAAATGACATGGCTTTCACTTCGTGCTCCTTGAAGGACACTTAAGGCTAATCTGGGATTGCTTGCTACACCAGTGTGACCTGTCTAATGAAGTATGTGAGTGTTTTGTACATACTTGGACTGATGCATTGTGGGGGTTGAGAAAACCACAAATTCTGAGTGAAAGTATTAACACTGACCATCGCATAGTTGACAAGTTGTTAGGGTTATGCCAAACCCAGGGAAAGCACCCTTTGCAAACGGGGCCTCTGATCGCAACTCAGTTTGAGTTTGGGGCATGAGACCAGAGACAAAGCCCAGAACACTTGGGACCAATAAGAGACACCCTGTAAAACTAGCACTCTAAAGGACTTCATCCTTGAAGGGATGAGAATAAACGAGATGCTTTTGTCTTCCTACCCCAGAAGGCTGCAAGGAATATTGTCTTGGCCATGAGCAGAGGTTTTCCTCTTTGGTGGCCTGAAGTCACATAACCCACGCTAGTCAGAAAGCAACGAACCCACTTTCCTCCCCCAGACTGCTAATGCCATCGTTAGCTACCTGGCAGAGGCTGATGCAGATCTCACCTTCATCCTGGAGAATGAAGCCTAATGAAGCTTTTGTACCCAGCAACTTATGGGAATTACAGAAGACTGAAGTACAAACTACCAAACCATCGGGCACAGCCACCAAAATACAGAGTGGGTACAAAGCAATTTCAGAAAGAGTAACACCCAGATTAAGGGAGGATTTAGACATTAAGGCTTGAAATGTGTAAACTGCTTGTAATCTGTGGGCTTTATTTGGGTACTGGCTTGGCAAAACAAAGCAAGTTGTACTACAATAAAAGACGATTAACAGTGTGAACACTGAGTGGATGCATAATTACACTGAACTTTTGAAAGAGTACTGCTTTAAACATGCGTGCTAAAAATGATTCGGTTGGGGTTTGTTTCAAAATAGGTGGTGGGCAGATAACTGGGCTATGCTATGGCCCAGTGGTAGAGCGCTTGCCTAGCATGAATTGGATTTGGTTCCCAGGCAGAGGTGAGGGAATGGAGAAGAGGGGGGGGCGGGGATACTTACGAACCAAGATTGAACACAGGCTGATGTGGCATTCACTATAATTCTAGCACTTAAGAGGCAGAGAGACAGGAGGATCATGAATTTGGAGTTACCCTGAGCTATAGAGGGAGATCCTGTCTCAAAAACAAAATCAGTTTGGGCATAAGTAACTGTTGAAGATAGCATGGGCATTGTCTATAATGTCTACTTTTGAATACATTTAAAAATGTACAGACATTTTTTGGTCGTGATGGGATTTTTGTTGGTTTTGGTTTGTCCTGTCTTAGGAGACATGGTCTTACTAGGTAGCCCAGACGTTCCCCTCCCATTTCAGCCTTCATATATGGGAACTGCAGATACGTTCCACTATGTCCCACTGAAAACTTTATTATCTTTTAAGTTAGTGGACTATTTAAAGAAGTGGACTACAGGCTTATCTCTGGGAATGAGATCTTGAACACTGCAGAATTGACCTGCCTAGTAACTACCACCTCTGCCAAATTTAAAGAAGAGACAACAGGAAGGAGGCTGTTAAGGCATCACCACCACAGCTGTTCCTCAGCCTCCCCAGAGTAACTGTTAGAAAACCCAGATATCTCCTACGTGACTTCTCAGCAGAGTGAGCAGTAGCAATGGATAGGTGCCCTGTACCTTACATCCAGACCTCAGGAGGTCTGTCCTGCATAGAGAATTGCATCTGCAAGCATGGTCCGGGAGACTATCCAGCCCTGCAGTACAGAAAGCTTACTAGACGTGGAGCAGGAGGAGGACAGTGTCCCTATTTGCTACATGGTAAGACTTGTCAACCCATACACTAGAAATAAGACCGACTGGGGGGCAGTTGTATGTCTCTTTAGTCCCAGGCACTTGGGAGGTCTTGGGGGAAATCCTTGAGCCCACAACTCTAAGATCAGCTTGTGCCAAAGCTGGCAAAGGGGGAAAGGGGAGCGGTTCTGACTCCCAGGTGTGGCATTGGGGGTGCGGCCGCTGGTCACCGCATCCACAGTGAAGAAGCAGAGGCGGATGAATGCTGGTGTCCAACATACTCCTTTTTATTCAGTCAGGACCTCAGAACATGGGAAGGGGTGACCCACAGTTAAGGTGAATCTTTAGCCCCCCACCCCCACCCCGTTGAACCTTGACACCCTCACAGCCATTCCCAGAAGTGGTTTTTCCGGGGTGATTGCAATCAAGTTGACAATGAGGATTAATCATGGCAACTGGGATATCCAGGAGTATGCCAGGGAGCTGGGGGAGGTGC